CTAAACTACAAATCTTCAATTCTAATGTAATTTCAGTTGTAACATATTTCTGCGAAAGAAGGACAACCACCAAAGATACAGAATGAAAGTGAAATGCATCTGGAAAAAAAACGTCTGAGAAACTGAGAAAGTTGCTTGCAATACAGCAGAGTGGAGTAATCAAATTGTGAGCCCTTTGTGATGTATAACTGCACATAAAGGATGATGATGATTATATTCAGTTATCGCCACTTCAAATGTTTAAACTACAGACACAATCTAACCTGATCAATATGAACTGGAGCTGGTTGACACGACAACAACACAAACACAGTAATAATCAGTTTGGTTAAGCTGCAGATAATCTTTTCATAACAACACAACAGATAAATCAATGATTCAGCATTACCAACACCGTAAATTTATTATAAATGCAGTATCTGACATAGGATTTATCAAATAATATGAGTATTTAATTCTGGTAATAATAACACACATACAAACAGTAACATTTTCACAAACTTTACAGAGAATAAAACTAAAATGGCTTTAACTGGTGGAGAATTACCATCAGTATAAGATAAGACCCCACGTATAAGACACACCTTGATTTTTTTACCGGCAATGTGGGGAATAATATGATTACATACAGGTTTCATTTATCATATTTAAAAAAAAAATTGAAAGGACCCTTTTCCACACCTTTAGGTGTATAGGGCATATAGGGCTAGACCTATATTTTTATAGACCAATAGGTACAAGATGGGTGATGTGGTCAGCATCACGCCGGCCGCTTCTACTTCCCAAAACTGCACCCAGTACCCACTCAAGGCTGGGTCGACCTGGGAGCCAAGGTTATTCATTACAGAATTTAAAAAAAAATTGCCTTACTGCTGTCAAAACTGTCATTCATATTATGTGTTATTCAGCTGCTCATTGTCTGTGTCTGTGATGAATCACAGTCTTCAAATGTTGCCTCATCCTCAGTTCTATCTGTAGGCATTTAAAGCGCCCAACTTCTTGAACGACTTCACAATGTTCTGAATCTTCACATAATCCCAGGATCTTTCCACTTAGTTACAAAGATCTCCTATAGTTGGTTTCGTCTCATTACCCGCTGGTTTTAATTTGTCGCCAGAAGACTTCACCCATTGGCTCCATTTGTCTCTCATCGCAACTCTGAAGGGTTTCTGATGCTGACATCTAGTGGTTGAATCTTATTGGACACAGGAATTCCTAATGTAACAAGTGTGAAACAATAAGTGTGAAAGAACAGTCAATTATATATATATATATATATATATATATATATATATATATATATATATATATATATATATATATATATATAGAAATGAACAAGAATTTTCCTAAAAATCATGTGGTTAAAATGTAATACCACTGTATAAGATGCATAGTTTTTAGACTCATATTTTTGTTTTTAATAATTGCGCGTTATACTTGGGAAAATACAGTGTATATAAATATATATTTAAAAAAAAGAGGCTATCCTCCTAATAACGGGCCTAAATTATTGAGCCGGAAAATATACCCTAACAGGGCCTTAGTCGCGTGTCCACTGCTCACTTCTGGGGACTATAACGCCGAATTGCGAACACCGTCGAGATTATCCCCCATTGGGGCTAAACTAGATGGCTAGGATTCACGAGCAAATAAAATGAAGGAAGCTGCAGGAGATGCGATAGCTGCTGCTCGTGAGTCCCAGCCATTTAGTTTAGCCCCAATCCACGCCACATGAGAGATACTCTCGGCGGTGGCGGAAGTCGCCAGAAGCGCACATTTTAAGATGACGGAAGTGCGCAATTGACACGTGACTAAGGCCCTGTTAGGGTAAATTTTCCGATAATTTAGGACCGTTATTCGGAGGATAGCCAAAAAAAATCTGTTTAAAAGAACAATCTTATGTCTGAAATATACTGGTTCTTGTTTCTGAAATATCTGAGTTAAATATTAGGAAATTGTTCTTTCTTCACAGAAACATAACTAACTTCAGATAAAGCAAACCCATAACAATTTATGAGTACATCAGAATGATAATGTAACATGAGGTTCAATGGAAGAAAACATTTTGACATCAAGTAGAATACAAAGCAGAAAATATAAATATATCAAATAGGGGATTTCATCATTCTAAATGAATTGAAATATGCCTCTTGCTGAACTAAATTAGGTTTTCAAACCAAACACCGGGAAGGCTAACCCAAGCAACAAAGACCTGAATCAGCGTCGTTCAAAAAGCGCAACTGTCCCAGTCATGCTGTAAAGGGCACAGTGAAGTTACATCCTTGGATGAATGCAGAAGAAGAAAAACCTCATTGAAACAAAACAGAACAATTAAAGAAATTATACTGGAATAAATATTTTACTGTGCGTTTAAGAAAACAGAAATGTGCAGCCAGACAGAATGAATGCATAACAACAATTAACTTACTTAGAAGGAGGTGCTTTTCTGGGGGGTTAAGAAATAAACGATCAGTGAAATCTAGTGCGACATGACTAAGACCACGCTCTCTGTTAGCTAGCTGTCTGTTACCCACAGTTGGTTTAAACCCTCTGCGGGGTGACTGGGTGACAAACTCCTCGTGGTCCGGGTTCATGCTCGAGGGGTAGGCAGAAAAGTCACATTTCTCCCAGATTCACTGTACCTATCATGCAATCAAGGCCAGATGCAAATCTTTTTATGATCCAGATTAATTGTAGAATGTCAAAACTTGTTATTTTCCTTGATTCACTGAATTATAAGAATTTTTCTGTGTGACATAATCTCAAAAGTCAAATTTTGGTTCAAATCCTCTGTAAGATTGGGCATTTTTTCTGCAATCCTAATCACCTGTAGTCGACAGCACTAGCCATGTGGCCCTAAATCCTCAGGGTCAAAGACCCCCTGCCTACACCTCAAAAATTTAAGATACAGGCAGTAATGGCATTTTCGGATTGGTGGCCGGGGGGTGATTATGAAACTGACCATGACATATTCTTATGAAAAAAACGGGAGATATAACTTTTCTCAAAGTTTCTCTTGGATGCATTTTATGGTGTTGTGCTAGAGGTTGAATGTATTTTATGGTGTTGTGCTAGAGGTTTAAAAAAAAAAATAAATACTATTTAATTTTAAGACACAAGTTGCGTTTCCATTACAGGAATGCAGAACCAAGCCCAGCAATTTGTTTGGGCTGTTTGTGGTTAAACTAGGTAATTTTATGTTCAGTAGTTTGCTTCTTAACCATCAGAAAAGCCAAACATTTACTGTTTTTATTTTGAATGCATGGAACAGCATCATCAATACATCAGTGACAACCACTCAAGCCAGTAAGAACAAAAAGTAAGAATTACTTTTTAAATATTCAACTGAAGGGTTTACTTTCTTGAATTTCAGAAAACAAAGAGTTAAAAAGAGGGGGAAAAGTATATGATCAACTTTTGTTCAATATTTTCAACATAAGAAAATAATAATGACTAGAAAACACAGGGTACTTTTTCTTTAAAAAGATTTTTTTTTAAAACCCAGTTAAACCCATACTTAAACGAGGAGAACCAAAAAAGGTGTACATTTTGAATAGTTTACAACCGAAAATAATGTACAGAACAAACAAATACTGTAAACTGTATTTTATTCCATAATTACCTACCCTGTATAAGTGAAAACCCTGATTTAAAAATGCATATTTTAATAAAATGATCAACATTCATAAAAGGGTAAAACAAAAATTAGTGCACACACACATACAGTAGTTCTAAGATAACATAAAAACAATTGAGTAATTAAAACTGTAACTCAGCAATTGTAATTTAAAAAAAAAAATTAACATATTTTGTAAAACTGAGCAACCTCTTCTGTGTATTCTTAAAATCCATGGATCAATTGTCTTTTAAAGTTTTGAATGATCACCTGTTCTGTCCCTCATGGATGTTGCTGTAGTGGGGACAGCTGACACACTGCAGTATTTTCCCTTCAAATACTTGTTTCTATTTTTAAGTGTATTATTTCATAATCAGTGAAAATAGGCTATGCCGATTTCTGAGTTTATAAAACACTATAAAACATATTCTCTTGTAGTTTCAGTCACTTTGAAGTTTTTGTTGTTACTAATGTCAAACAAGAACTCCCCCCTCGCCCCTGTGTGGGTTCCAGGACTCCATTATGTGTGTGTATGCATGCTGGGAGGGGGAAGGTGTGTGTGTGTGAAGTAGTGGAGTAGACCCACTGCCTCCCTTACAAGCCAATCACAAGAGTTAACTAATTAGGGGGTTTCCTTCAAAGTCCGAGTGCATCTGCCCAGGTAAGGAAATTACAGTCTGTATTCAAGCCAGATCTGTAAAATCGATATGCACACAAAACTCAAGTTCTGGAACAAGAATTGAAGTCCAGAAGTGGGCGAACCACCAGAACTTTCCACTGGAGTTTACAGCTAGTGAATGTGAAGAGAAGAAGAAAAAAAAAAAAAAGAGACTTTGACCAAAGGCAGAAAACAGTGGATCAGACATAAAATTGTAGATGTTACAAGAAAAGACCAAAAAAAAAAAAAAAAAAAAACAGAAATAATAAAAGCACAGAAAATGTAATGGTTTGGTTATTTGCCAAGAATGTCTCCATATATATTTGTTGCCACAGACAAAGAAAACAAAAGGAGGATGTTTACAAGGAAACAAAAGGACTGACGCAAGATGGACTGATAGCATTAAAAAGGCAGCACAGAAATATGGCCTTATATTATCAACAGCTGCAGAACTAGCCAACAAGTAAAATACATTCAAAACTGGTTAGTGAATGGAGAAAGATACATTAGCATATTATGTCTCCACTGGTGGACAGATCAGACATATAAACATCACTATCGTTTTATGCCTCCACTGGTGGACAGATAAAAGCAGACATTTGAACATCACTATCGTTTTATGCCTCCACTGGTGGACAGATACAAGCAGAAGACATATTAACAGCACTATCGTATTGTGCCTCTGCTGGTGGAGAGGTACAAGTAGACATAGGAACACCAATATCACTTGAGGTTGAGCAAAAACGTTGTGGGCTCCTCCAGGTATTGCTTCCACAAGTTGGAGAACCTTGCCATTGTGGCACCGTCTATCACGCGGTGGTCTGCTGACCAGCTGATGTTCATGATGTGGGCTTCTTTGATTGCTCCTTGTGCAGCAAAGCGAGGCAGAATCTGGTTACAATACAACAGTGTGATTATAAGCTATAATTGTTATTTATATGTGAAATATCTAAACACAAAGATAAAATATTTAACCATAAATGTTAAATTTCTGAACTTAGATGTTTAAAAAAAAAAAAAAAAACACCCATTCAAATAAATGCAAAATGCTAGAAAAATATCTAAATGTAAACTGTCTTTTCATAACACAAATATAAATTATCTAAAAACAAATGTTTAAAAAAAAGCTTTCAATAAATGTAAAATCCTGATACAGAAATGAAAAATATATTGATGTAAATGTAAAAATACTTTAACACGAACTGTAAAATATCTAACGCTACAATTTAAAAACAGTTGCCAAATTACTGGTACTCATTTTTTCCAGAATAGGTTAAAAACAGCCAAATGATCATAAAAACAAACTGCTATCTCTGAGAAAAGAATTCAAATAGCAACGAAATCTAAGAGGCCTTTGAAAAAAATGGAAATGATTACGTTGGAAACATAACACAAACTAACAGTAAAACACTTATTGGGAAACTGCAGTGGCACGCTCATATTCCATAAACTTTTGTGGAAATTTCATATTTATTCAATAGAAATATAAGTATGATTCTAGGGCATTCACACATTTGTAGATATTATTATTATGTTGTTGTTAATGATGTTTATTATTACATATTAAAAGATGTATAAATGAAATAAATGTGTTATAGGGATAAGGCCAGAATGTTAGATAGGCATGCATGCCTAATTCTTAACCGTTGGAAAATAAAGTTTGTTTAATAATTCTGGTACAATATTTAATTAATCTTCTGCAGTAGATCTCAAATTTCTCACTAACCCTGGTTATATTCTCGATCGACCAATCAGTTTGTTCACTGCAACCTAAAGATTTACCACTAATAATTGCAGTCTTAATGGCAGATCAACACCATCCAGGCGCAACCTGCAGACCTATGTGGAGTAACAACAAACCTATCTCTTGATGTGATTCTATTCTGTATTGTGGTCTGCTTACTGTTTACCTGCCTTCAGTATTTCATTGGGGTATGGCTTTTATATACAAGTTATTGTAGACTAGTGATGAAGTTAACGTCTTTCTTCTTCACAATCACTGGCTGTAAACTCAGGCAGAAAGTTCTGGTTCTTCATTCACCTCTGGACACTAGTCTTCTCCGAGAATGGGAGTGTTACATGCACATTCCTTTTACAGATCTGGATTATCTGTATGCAGACTGTTAATTTCTTGTCTCTCAGGCAGATACACTCCAACTTCCAAGGAAGCAAGTGATTTATTCTTGTCCCCCCCCCCCCCCCCCCCCCCACCACAACCCACACAGGGATGCTGAAGTTATAAATTCTATGTAAACAACGTACCTGAATTTTCCCAATGGCACCAATAGCAACATTAGGAGGCATAATTATTGGTCTTGCATAGGTGCCGCCAATCTGTACAAACATAAGATAGCTGTTAAGACATGACAAATATTTCTAATGTTACAGTTAGTTGTGTATCCTTTACAGAATATATTTCTAATGTTACAGTTAGTTGTGTATCCTTTACAGGACATATTTCTAATGTTAAAGTTAGTTGTGTATCCTTTACAGGACATATTTCTAATGTTAAAGTTAGTTGTGTACCCTTTACAGGACAAATTTCTGATGTTAAAGTTAGTTGTGTATCCTTTACAAGACAAATTTCTAATGTTAAAGTTAGTTGTGTACCCTTTACAGGACAAATTTCTGATGTTAAAGTTAGTTGTGTATCCTTTACAGGACATATTTCTGACGTGAAGTTAGTTGTGTATCCTTTACAGGACAAATTTCTGCTGTTAAAGTTAGTTGTGTATCCTTTACAGGACATTGTAGAAACAATACCATAATTTTTTGGCTGTTGTAGTTTTTCTAGGCAAATTTAGAGTTCAGTAGTTTGCCACTGCTTTCTGGGTGGTCAGCTCTCGGTACCACCACTAAAACCAACGTAAGACAAATTATCAGCAGCTGGGGTCGAACCCGGCACACCGGCATTACAAAGCGTGCTGGCAACGCCCAAGCCAAAGATATTTCTTAATTTTCTGCTTACAAAAAAAAGAGGCTGTCTTGTACATGGGGGTGACCTATGCAAGGAAATATATGATTTAATTAAGTTGTGAAATACTGTGAAATGTAGATACAGACATAGTCCGTGTTTTTTTTTCAGACATGTTATGAGAAGGAACGGACTCAAGAACTTGCTCACAACTGGTAAGATTGATAGAAGAGAGCGACTGGAGGGCAAAGAAATGAAAAAAAAACTGGATAGCTCAGCCCTACTGGTGGGGCAAGACAAGGTTAGAGCATTGAGCTGTGTTTCTGGTGTCCTTAGGAGATGGCAAACATGACAACCTGCTGCAAGTTTCTGAATCTGATAATGGTTAGCCACTGCAGGTCCTTTAAATTTAGTTTACCCTATCTCACAGACTATTAGAGTTGCCAGGGAGTGTCCTAGAAAAGGCCAATAGTATAGGGGTGTCACGGTATGAAATGAGCACAAACTCACTCTAACCCTACACCCCCTGTGCCCAGCGTAGTTTATATTTAGTGATCTGCAGATGCGGAAAGTGACGAGTGGCCTGTAGCCACAGAACTGGTGGTGCCTTATGTGATTAACTGTGTGTGCAACTAATGAGTTCTTGTAACTGCTACTTCCATCAATAATGAACTGCAGGCTATCCTAAGACTAACGGTCGGCAAAGATGGCGGGCGCAAAATATCCTTTCGAGCCACAGTCGCGTGTCAATTGCGCACTAGCAGTCACGAGCACACCGCGGCTGCTGCTCATGGGTCCTAGCCATCTAGTTTAGCTCCATTCCATGCCATGTGAGCGGCATGGGGGAATATGGCGGTGGCGATAGTCGCTGGAGAACCGCAAATTAAGTCACGCGACTGTGGCTGGAAAGGATATTTTGCGGCCCACATCTTTGCCGACCGTTAGTCGGAGGATAGCCTGAACTGCATTCCTAGAGGCAAACTGTTTTACTCTATTCATCTCAGAAAATTCATATTTGTTGCCTTCAAACTTTTCCTAGTTTGCTCGTCCAGACTGTGAAATCCACAATTGATAACCCCAGAACAGGTTCAAAATAACATTTTAATAAGCTTTTCCAGACATTCAATGAATGAAACAATGCATAATATAACTGAACAATCCGAAATGTAGTTTACGAGCGACCTATTCTGCATGTAATCTCTGCTCTCTCTCACACACACACAGACAAAGAAAGAGAGAGTCTCAAAAACACTGTACAATGTATAAGGTACCTACAGCCCCAATGTTTGACAAACTGAAAGTGGTCCCAGACAGTTCTGCAGTTCCCAGTTTACCAGCAAGACCTAAACTCTGCAGCCTGTTCAGTTCTGCTGCAATCTCAAATATACTCAGGCTCTGAACATTCTTGATACTAGGAACAAGCAAGCCCTCTGGTGTATCCATGGCAACACCAATGTTGTGAGAGGCCTGTAAAATGGCATTTAAATACTTACATTCAACGTATTAACATTAGAGCATGATAAATGAAAAAATTAATGAAAGAGTTTTAAAAAAAAACTAAAGAAGACAAATCTTTACTTTGGGCATTTCCTTCAATGCTCTATCCATTCTTCAGTAGCCAACAACAAGTTATGTTAATAGTGTCCACGACAACCTATCAAGAGTCCACCTATTTTATCCCCCTTACACACTGAGTGTCATCCGGATCATCTACTGACTTTCTATTGAATCATACAATTACGAATGCTCTGTGCACAAATCAATGAATTTGCAGATATGGGATTAAAGACAGCAGCACGAAGAAATGGTCAGGACACTTTACAAACCAACCCAAAGACTGAATCACTTCTTTATTAATTAAGAAGAATCTTTTTTTTTGTATTCACTTTAAAAGAGTGGCTGGCACACTGCTGTGGTTTACAGATAGGCTGCGATACCTGCATCTTTTGGCTCAACACACCAGATTCCAGCACACCTGTAATCGGCCACCCTTTATGTCATGTCTGTTAATGGACAGTAGATCCATTTCCACCCTCTCCCCACTTGGAACCCACACAGAGCATGCAAGAACAGCTACTGATGATCTTTCCAGTTATCAAAATAGTTTTCATCATATCTACTTTCCTGATATGACCAAAATACTACTCATCTTATGTTCTAATTTCACTAGCCTTTCAGCCAATCTCGTCTACATACTCTGGCACCCAAGGTAAGTAAGTAAAACAGCCTAAACAGCCTTTTTAACTGATGTCAGTGGTCCATAAAGCACACGATGCCTGGCTCATAATATCACAACTAATCACACCTCAAGAAGGATACGGCCAACCTTACACCAGCCGCCTTTACTTCCCAGAACACTGGGAATACTTTTAGACACAGTCAGCCTTGATGTGAATGTCAGTTAAAAAAATTATCTGCCTTATTTCAGATTCAAATATGCAAGGTAATTATAACATTCAGAAAGCGCATATTTCCTGTTCATTTTGGTCTATTCCACTTATTTATCTTTAAAATGATAATTCATTCAATAAAACATTTGGCAAATTGATTAAACTGCAGTTCAATTTGTGTATAAATCTACTCGATAACAATGGTGAGTCCTGTCCGGCCATGCCAGCCTCACAAAAACGGGAATGCCTGTTTGAGATTGATGGCGTATTCTAAAGGAGGTGGTGGTTCCATCCCAACTTCTTTCCAAATATCACCAATCCTGACCCTGTCTATTTATAACATTTAGGATTCATCACAGACATTTCATTTATGTTGTTTCTATTTGAAATTACAGTTAAGGAGAAGAAAAAACCAACATACCTTGTAAGTAATATGTTCACTTGCGGCATCTAGGCTGGAGTTCAGTATAGGATACTGCAGTAAGGATAGGGAGACAGCCTGGCAAAACACAATGCAATTAGAAAGTTTTGCATTATTTATTTACACCACAAAAGTAATTTACTGTATTTTTTGGGTGTATAAGACAATGTTTTCCCAAAGTTTGAAACTGGGGATTCTCTTCTACGAGAAATATAATTAAAATATCTATTTCTTAATTTTCTGCTTACAAAAAAAGAGGCTGTCTTGTACATGGGGGTGACCTATGCAAGGAAATATATGATAAGTTACCTAGCATGTTTGGCTTGTGACTACTTGTGAGAGGAGCAGCCACCACAATCAAAAAGAGGGAGATAAAAAGTTACACCTCTTGCTTTTCCAGCCACGCTAATCACAGACATGCCAGACAGTTCTAGAGTTTCTCAGATGTTTTCTTTCCTTTTTACTTTCTAGTAAAGTTTAGAATTCTTATACCATTTTCATGTGCTCTTGGTATTCATGGCTTAAGGATGTAAATAATATAAAGCATTGAATTTAGGATAGGAAAGAACCACACAAATCAGGGTTCATAGCCAAATTTACCAATCAATTTCAAGGTCTCCTTAGTTTTTTTCAAGGTTGTCTCGGTGTAATACTGAAACAAGATTTTTGCCTTGTTCAAGGGTGTACTGAGCACACAATGTACTTCATTTGTGCCACATGTGTTGGTATACCAGCACATATATCATCATCATGTAGCATTTCCTTTGTCCTGACAAAAAAACCTCGGTCTCTCACCAGCTCTCCCGTCTCATGTACTTTTTTTATACTCAAGGAGTCACTTATATCCTGTGCCCATCTTCGTGTTGGTCTGCCCCTGAGCTTGATATAGTGTTTGAAATTTTTTTTAGGGCTTGGTGGTAGAGGGCAGCAAACTAAAGTCCTGTCTGTTCTGGACCTGGTACCTGAAAGGGTTAGGGGGAGAGAGAGAGTCATGCAGAGAGGAAGGAAGACACATGCTGAGGTAGGCTTGGAGAGACAGTGTAAAGATAGACAGATGAAGGTAGAGAAAAGAAGGAAAAGAAGTCTGGGGAAGGAGGAAAAAATGAGAGGGAGGGATGGAGACATGATGAGGAAAAGTGGGGTAGGGACAGCGAAAGACAGTGAGGGAGACAATTACAGAAAGAGGGAATGCAGATACAGAGATGGGCAGATGAAAAGAGAAGGAAGAAGGAAACGAAACAGAGATATGGAAGGGGGAAAATATGACAGAGTTGAAAGAAGGGAGACAGAGGGAGAGAGAACGGACAGGGAGAGAAGCAGATGCAAGCAGAGAGAGATGTAGACATAAAGGAGAGAGAGACAAAGGGACAGCACAGAGAGGCAAGCAGACAGAGGGAGAGAACCAAAGAAAGAGAAAAAAAGCAGAGCAGGAGAATGGGAGGGAGGTATACAAAGAGGAAGTGATGAAGGGAGGCAAACAGACATAAAGCAAGAGAGAGAGAGAGAGAGGTGGGTAAGGAAGGCAGTGACTAACACAGATTAAGAGAGAGGGGCAGGAAGGGAGACAAGATACATCAAAGAAAAAGAAAAAACAGCCTCGTGCTGAAACCCCACGTACTCCCCCCCCCCCCCCCCCCCCCCCCCCCCACAATTTCAAGTGTAGTGGACACAACCACTAGGAAAAGATAGTTATGGGACAAAAAAATATGTAGATGAACCAGAAAAAAATGGGGGGGGGGGGGGGGGGGGGAATGAGAGAGGGGAGCGGGTAAGGAAATCTAGAGAAAATGACAAGACAGGATGGAGAGGAGACAAAGAAGAGATGGGACAGGAGAAAGGGCAAGGAAAGGAAGAGAGGAAGAATGGAGAGAGAAAGGAGAATAGTAGAAGATCAAAGGAAAGAGAAGGGGTGAGAGAAGAGAGGTAAGACGTGGGGGGGGGGGGTGTGTAAGAACACTGAGTGCCAAAAATAGAATTAGAAAATCTCTAAGTGAGGCCACTTTTCCAGTTCCTACCCTCTCCCAATGTAAATGTGGTCCATAAACAACAGTGCTAACCCCTACTGCCCCATGCTTGTCCTATCTGTGTGTGACAACAATAATTCAATTTCTTACACTTAAGGCTGGTGACCTGAGAGCCAAGGTCATTTTATGAAGAAGAAAAAAGTCAAGGGGATCCCAACCCACCACTGGTGGAAAATAAAGAAGTTTACCCACACACATAAATAGGTCAGGGCAGCAGTGGACTTCGTTTTATTTCTGGTTTTCCAATTACAGAAAGGAGGGGAGAGAGGAGGTGGTGGAAAGTGGTGTAGAAGGCTGAGGTGGTAAGGGTGAGACAGAGGAGGTGAGAGAATAAAGTTTAAGAAAATAAAGTGGGGACTGAGACAGGGAGAGAAAGAAGGGAGTAAGAAATAAGATGAGATATAGAGGGAAGAAGGTAGCAGGAAGGGGTGCACCCCCTCCCTTAGGTGTCATCAATGTGGGGGGAGAAAAGGGGGAAGGGGGGGGGGGGGGTTACGGCAAATGTGTTTTTAAAAGTACACATATATTTAATGTGTGTGTGAGGGAGGGTAGGGGAGTGGTAGACATGAAATGTTCTGCACTAGGCAACACATAACCTTCTACGCCAACTGAAGGTATGGAGAAAGAGAGAGAGAGAGATAGATAGAGAGAGGGAGAGTGGGGGGGGGGGGGGAGTGAGGGAGAGTGGCAAATACAAAGAGAAAGAGAGAGGAAAGCAGTGACACAGACAGGCAGAGAGTGAGGAACAGGTAGGACAAAATGTGAGGGGGCGTGAAGGGAGATGGACATAGATTAAGGCCTGCTAAGAAAACAAACACATCAAAAGAAAATATCCACCATGTTCACGCTGAACGACCTCCCCCCCCCCCCCCCCCCCCCCCCCCCCCCCCCCCCCCCCCCCCAACTTCCTGTGCACTTGAGTGCACTTGAGTTGCTAGGAAGAGTTATGGAGCCGCACATTTACTAAACATTTAAACAAGAAATAAAATAGAAAAAAGGGGGAGGGGGGACAGGAAATGAGAGAGTAAAAGGAAAGATAGTGAGAAAGAGAAGAAGAAGAAGATCAGAAGGGAGGGTTAGAGACAATGCAGGAGACGGTAAGGAAGGGGCAATAGGTAGAAGATTGAAAGAGGGGGGGGGGGGAGGGGAAGAGAGAGAGAGAGAGAGAGAGAGAGAGAGAGAGGGGTGAGACAACAGAAGAGGGAATCTCGGGGAATTACAATACTGATCGCCAAACACACTGAAAAGATAAATCCAGGCCAAAAATAGAACTGGGAAATCCAGCTGACAGTCACTTTGCTTAGTCCCAATGCCATCTCTAATTAATAGAGAAGGCCGTGCTTAGCCCCCACCACGGCGACTATTTATAAATACAACTGAACCGAGCCCCACCATCTCCCAATGTAATCCTTTCTAGAAACGACAGCCATAAACGATTTATACTGTTCATTCCGCCCGACTCGCTAGAAACAAAGGCACACACACACACACACGAGACGGAAGCTGCTAATTCCCGCCCATGCCACACCGCTGCTGTCTGCATGTATTCAAATGGCCAAAAAAGCCAAATGGCTCCCCAAAAATTGCCTGTGCTGAAAATCACAGGATTTCTGATGATTTCATTGCGGCGGTCAAAATTCACGGCTTTTCAAGGTCAAAATGTCTTTTATATGATAAAAATCACTGTTCAAGGTCAACGAAAAAAATCCCGGTAATTTCCCGATCCACTACGAACCCTGACAAATACATAGACAGACAATAATATAGGATCACAGTTTTTGTGTGAAAAAAAAAGGAAAATTACATGAATACACACCTTAATAAATATAGGCATGTATGTCAGCTGGATCCCTCGTTGCTGTGCTATAACTTTTAACCTTTTCCTCATGTCAACAAGTTGAGACACATCCACTTCATCGTAATATCCAAATGGTGGAATCTTAAGAGCCTCGGACATGATCTTGAACATAGCTTTGTTTACACCTTTCAGTGGGACTGTTCTGTCTTCACCCACTTGAGCAGGCGACGAAACAGGCTGTGCTGGAAATTCAACTTTGGCAGCAGACGTAGGAATGCTTTTTCCCAGAGGAGTCTGAGGTATGGAAGTAGACTGTGAAGAAGGCACATCTTTTGAAGCAGAAGACTTTTCAAACTGAGCAACTGTAAAAGAAATTTTAATTGGATCATTCTTCATTTTAAATATATGTATACATTTTTTAATGGCAGCACTCATGGTGCATGAAGTTTTATTTTAATATGGCAATGGGGTCATTAACAGAAAATTACATTCATAGGACAAACTACCCACCTTGTTTGCTTTCTAAGTATCGAATAACATCTTCTTTGAGGACTCTGCCATCTTTTCCCGTACCAATAACATCAGACAGGGATATCTAAACATAATGATGTAAATTGTAAATGTAAATTGACTAATGTACATATATGTGTGTTGTTACTTGTCAATCCATCTTGCATCATTAGTCATACAGTGGTTTCAGATGTGACTGAGTGTGTCTATTACAATGACAACAGAAAAGTGTCCACTGTCAATCGAATACAGATAACTGACTTATTCAGAGATGTTTAAAACATGAGTGCTGAAAACAACCTTGAACAGCAAACTGTAGTCTAAATGTTTTAATAGAGAAAAGAAATAAAACTTGCCATAACATCTGAAAGAGGCATGAGAATAGAAAAACTAAAACGTGGCAACTGGAAAGACTGCTTAAATATAAATTATAAGCAAGCAGCAGGTGACTTTTCCCACAATCTTAAATCATGAAAGAGAAGGGTGTGATAACAACTGATGATAAATGCTGTTCATAACTGCAAGATATAGAGATGAATGATTGCTTTGTCTGGCTGAAGCATGCCAGCGTAATGGCTAAATTCTTGTCTGGCAGTCCCAGGGTCTTGAGTTCCAATCCGCACTTAGAGGATTAAAAAATTTTTTTTTTACCTCGGCTCCCACATCACCCAGGATACCAGGTAATGTCCTGGGAAGTAAAGATGGTCAGATGGTAACACCAAATGCCTGATAAGATTCTGACGTAAAAAGTGCCCTTTCCTTATTTTATTAGCCCAGTTGTCAGGCACTCCATGATGATAATGGCATAACTCTACAGTTTCTTCTGTTCTAAAATGTTCTATAAAGTTGACATGGTAAAGCAATAGATTACACAAAGCAGCAAATTTATGGATCAACACAGAAAGTACAGGGTAAAAGGAACAGATTACACCAAGTAGCAAATTTCTGGACTAAGAAAGAAAGAACCACAGTTGTTTATCAACACAAACTAGTCCAGCATGAATCTGCAGTCTGAGGCTGCACTGCAAATGCAATATTGAAACCCTTACTGCAAACACAGCAGGAACATTTGTTTTCTATCAAAAATATGCAATACCTTCCAAGTTTAACAGTCTATTTATTAATATTCCTTCCAAGTGGGTTCCAGGGCCCCACAGGTTGAAAGAGACCCACTGCCAACTAATGGGGTGGGGGGGGGGGGGGATCCTTTGAAGTCAGAGTGCTTCTGTCTGAGATGTGAGGAACAGTCTGCAAACAAACAAGCTACGTCTGTTAAATGGATGATGGTGTAAAACTCAAGTTCTAAAGACTAAATTTTTTGCCCAAATTTACAGCTGTTTCACACAAAGAATTGTGCTCCATCTGTATTTTAGATGCAAATTCCAGGCAAAATTTTGCTTTATACGTATATATTGTCCTCCAAGTTATTTTGTAAGCAAATTATGGACAAAAAGATCATTACACTTTTTCTTGTAGTTCTTTTTTTTTTTAAATCAATGTGGCAGAGCCACCATAGTACCCTACATTTTCTTTATAGGGAATGGATTACTGCTGGAAAAAAATAACTATATACACATCATTGTAGCATCCTGCTTATGTTTTAAGTGGGGGGGGGGGGGGGGGGGGGGGGGGGTGGGGGGGGGGGGGGGGGGGGGGGGGGGGGGGCATAGTGATAGTATACCTTATTTTCTATGGCAAGTCTTCTGACAGCTGGTGTTGCTAATGATTTTTTGTCCTCTTCATCTTTGGATACTGAGCCTCCATCAATTTCTCTTACATCTTCTTGCTTCTCTGATTCTGTAAAACCAATATTCACTATACAACGAAAACAGAACATTAACAAACAAGTAAAAGAATATTTTTATGTAGTTCAGCTCATCAACACAGCAATAAAATATACTTTCTTTTAAACACGATATTAGTACTAGTAGGTTTCTTCACTAGAGCCCACCAGGTAAAAGTAATAGGAGAGGAACAGGGAGATTACAGAGAGGAAAACTGGACACATAGATAATGAAAAATGGTAAAGACATGGGTGTCTGGCTGCAGGAGTTGGCAAAAGATGGCTCAGTGTGAGTTGGTTGAGGCCCCTGCTCTATTGGGTTATGAAATGGTTTTCTTTAATTGTTTTCCTTTCGAAACTCTTTGATCATATAATGAATGAAGGGACCAAGAATTCACATCCCTGCATTGAGGGCATTTCAGCACATGCTCTATGCCCTTTCCCAGCAGCCAACCAAGAGTTATAGTAGTGCCAACTACAACCTAGTGCTGAGCTCAGAAGTGACATTACAGGACTCAGGACATTTCCACAAACACCCCATACTCATCTTCAGCAGCCAGCAAAGAGTTCCATTCTGTTAGTGCAAGTATCAGTTTGATTATAAATATTAATTAAAAGAATGCCCATCTTTTCCCCTGTGCTTCAAATACTGTCTAGTCCTTTTCCCACTTCCTGCTAAATCAATCTATTCAGATGTGGATAACCTGTGTACCCTAGTACCATACCGTAGATGCCAATTTTCCTCTTAAACATTAAATATATGTCAAAAGCCACATTAATTGACTTAATGATTAGCCAAAAATATTCTTGACTTCTGACTCTTATATACAATTTAAATGTTTACAATCAGAACTAGATATGATTAACAATTCAAACAACTGAATTATCAGCCTTATGTCTTGCAAGATTATCCTTTTTTGGAGGAGCAGATTAAACACATGACAAGAGATTACTGAAGAACTAAGAAGAATAATGAACATATGATCACACTTACCTGCAGATTCTTCAATTTCAATATCCAACAATGGCTGGCCAACCAACGCCACTGCATCAACTTCATGATACAACTTCCTGACGAAGCCATCATACCGACTTGTGATAGTCACCGAGGCTTTGTCACTCTTCACCTCACAAACACTGTCAAACTGGTTCACTTTGTCACCAGGTTTCACATACCTGAGAAGATTACATAACCTGATCAGTGAGAACAGTTAATCTACATAACCAAATCAATAACCGCCACCAGTTATTAATACATACGAATTAGAGTCTGGGACGTTAAAAAATTACCTAGTCTTGTTACATGGATGGGCTGAGGAAGAAATAACTGACTCTTAGTGAGCAAATGTTACAAAAAGACTTTAAAAAAAGAACAAGGGCAGAATTCAGAAGTTGCACTTCACCTCCCTCACCTGGCTCTACACACCTGTGCAGGCCACAGTAAAAAGTAATGGGTGGACCAACAGACTAGGCTGGTGGATAATGACAAGTCTATGGTGCTAGCGCTTGGAAGAACAGCATAGTGAAGCAGGTCAAAGTCATCTTTGAGGACAAGATATAACCAAATTCTCATGGGAAAAATCAACCAGTAAAGGTACCTTGGAGTGGCAGCTGCAGTGGAGGATTGATTATGCATAACTATCACAGACCCTCCTCATATTTATAAGAGCGAGACAATTAGGTACTTAACAGTTGAACTATAATATATTTTTTTAAAAATATCTTCTTGATTGGTTTTTTCCTTTCCTTTCCATTCCCCTTTCATGGAACTGTATGCCATCAAGTAATGTAGAATTCCTAGCTCTCAGGTCAGTGTGACCAACCTAAGAATGCATCTGCGGAAGTTAATTTTCTCTTTATAGACTAAACTTTCTTTGTCTGTTTTTAACCTTTAAAATGGAAACCGGCACAGAACTGCCATTTACAGCACACATTGCCATCTCTGCACCTTTTGGCCCAATACATCCAATTTCATTTAACCCTTAATCAGTCACCTTTGAGGACATGCAGCAGCAACTGAGCCATAAACTATCTCCCCCCTCCACGAGGCCCTAGAACCTACACAGCATTGTGTTGATCCAAAATTGCAAAATAATTGGAGAAAAGCAACAACAAATTAAAAAAAAAAAAAATTGCGTCTGAGTACAAATAAACATAACGTGCAGTACTGTTAATTAAAATATATATCTTGGCTTCTTTTCCGCTTTATGGAGTCAACATTAAACTACAATTTACAAACCAAAAAAAAATAATTTCAAATAATTAGAATACAAAATTCCCTTCCACACAAAAAACATACTTTAGGCCACATTTAAACTTCTCCCAGAAAGTATATTATTAGCAGATATTTTCTTTTACAAAAAAAAAAATTCATGTTATGAATGTAAATATTAGTTACTAGTTGAAGTTCCAACTTCATTGCAGACGTGTTCCTCTATTACTGCTAGGTTCCTGTGGTCTATTTGCAAAAATAAAACTAGTGAAATCATATCAGTCCCAGAAAAAACCTCACAAGTCGCACAAGCAAAGTAAATGCATAAGAAAGCCATCAGATTAAAGTAAACAATAAGACAACAACAGCTAAGTGCAGCTGATAAGAAATGGTGAAATACACTATGCAAAATATTTGTGCCATTTTTTAAAATCTGACAATTCAGTAGAATCATAAACATAAGTGTTAACATTGTGGCAATCAATTCAAATTTGTATTTCGATCACATGGAATATAACATGCAACAACAACTTAGAACACAGCACAATTAATTACCATTCAACAATAATGACCTCTCGAATGCCCTCACCAATATCTGACAGTTTGTACTGTACAATGTCAAAAAGATCTGTTTTTTTTTAAAAACAAAACAGGAGAAAAAAATTAGTCATAAAAAAATTCACAATTAACTATTATATAACAAACACAACGGTTTGAGCTCTTTCCGAGAAGGATGTCATGTGTGAATTGAATTTCTCCCATGAATCTCATCACATGTCCTACAATTTGTTTTATTTGGTCAGAGCATACTAAGGAAATCTGGCTAACTTAGTGGTCATTTACACTGCACAGCTAGCTTCTTCAAAATGCAGGCTTTTCATCAATATTTACTCTGTTGTGTGCCTTACGTGAAGATCATGTGATACTGTACAAATAGAGATCATACCAGATGACAATGAGAAGTTTAATGTTACAGGGAGACTAAGTGGGTGATGCTATGCTGAAAATCATTATGACCTACTTTTTAGTTATATCTAAATAAAATATTAAAGGAATAACATTCAAATCATCAACATCATGTACCACTTCCAGAATGAAAGTTGGCTGTAATGTGTGTGAAGGTTAACATGATAGCACAGTGGCTAGATGTCATGGGTTACAATTTGTAGAGGGGCTGATTTTTAAAACTGACTTAGGCCGACCCAGTCCAAAACATGGACCGAAGAATAACCTAGGATGATGTTATGATGACCACATCAACCACTCTATGCCAGCTGCTCATAAAAAAAAATTTGGGTCAAGCACCATTTGCCCCATACTGTTTAATGATACTCTGATAGTTCACATGTCTTTCTGTTGAGTTTCTCAAATGACTAAATACTCTCTTTGCTGATAAGCTTAATTTTTATTTTGTTTAGTTATGTGTAAGACATTATTGCTTTTGTAATTTGGACTACGAGCTGCCATGGTGTAGCCGATAGATGCTCACCTGCGGACCTGAAGGTCGTGGGTTCAAATCTCCATGGAACCAGACTCTTTCATCTATGACCTTGGCCCCCATGTTGACCCAGCCCCCCATGTTGACCCAGCCTTCAGTGGGTACAACTAAAGCCCTGAGAAGTAAAGACGGCCACTGTGATGTTGACCACATCACTCACTGAGAGCCAGTTGGTCTATAAAAGTATGTCTAGCCTAATATGCACGATGCGTTACTCACATGTACAGGGACTTTACTTGGGAGACTTATTCCCAAGATTCTGTCTGTTTCAACCATTTGTACAAGGTCCTAAAATTAAGTAATGAGACTGATTTTATTATGGCCAAGACAAAAATGCCATACATAAAGCAAAGCATCGAATCTAAAGAGGTAACATTCATATATGATCTGGCAACTTTTCATCAACGCTCGATAAGCAGACAACAAACAAGCTGCCATTTTGCTGACCTAGAAGAGATGCAATGCTACATAATCAGCACAGAGAAAAAAGCTAAAATTAAATTCTTTTTAAAACTCAGAAAAAGTGCTACTGAAACAGTTCAATTGATTCAACAAGTTTTTGCGGATAATTTTTTATTTTGTGCACACATTTTCAGGTGGAACTGATGATTCAAAAGTGGTGTAGAAATTATTACTAATGCCCCTAGACCTGGACGCCAAATTTCTGTTTGTAACGATGAACTAATTGCAAAAGTCAGAGAACGGAAAAAATAAAGGGCGATGTCCTGAGAATATCTCTATGGCTCCTCTTTACTTCCAAAAACTTAACCTGATAGCCCTAGGTTATTTGTAAAATTTGCCTCACTGCAGATTAAAGACAAGATTTTCCTCCAATGATGAGGCCTAGTCTTCTTTGTGCCTGAGTATATTCTCTACACAAATATTGTATAGCTATTTGGATAATACACAATTAAGTCCCAAGCATTCCTTGCTATCTATTACAGATAAAAAAAATTATGTCCTGATCTTATGTTCAGAGAATAAATTTGTTTCAATCTCAGTTTTTTTCCTTCAATGTTATCTACTTCATCTGTGATGCTAATTTAAGTACACTGAATGCGTTTTTATAGCTTTTTTTTAAATTCCAGAAAAGGTGAATACTTTTTCCACTTCTTGTATGTATATTTTCTTTACCCTCATGGTGTTGTAAAAAAGTTCAGTCAATTAAGCAACTCAAAAAAAAAAAACTTTCCCTAATTATGTATCGGTAGAGAGATCTTTGCAATATACCATCTTTTACACATGTCATCATATTATGTCTTCACCTGCTGAAGTCATAAATGTCCTCCACTGTAAAGGCAAGGCAACTTGACCAAGCCTTGCCTTATTCTGACCATTGTGGTATGAACAACAGCAGGCAAGCCAACCTGAAGGTCTACTATGATGGAAGGGCTGGTTTTGTGCCTGAAAAAGATTCAATTTCAGAGGTGACCAGAACAATAAAACTGTTGATCTGTTACTGACAACACGTACTAGACACACTAAATGAAATAATTAAAATATACACAATGCTATTTGGTATTTAAAGGCTTCTTCCTAAACATTTTGATCCCATGAGATTAACTGCACCAGATATCACCAGCCTCCATGGTAATTAAAGTCAATACAGTAATAAAAACAAGAGATTAGCCCCATTAACGGCTGGCTTGACTAGGTTGAACTACGCTGCTTCTGGTTAAAAAATAAAACAGGTAGCTTACTATGAGAGATGACAAGAAAAAGACCCTTAATACACAAGAAATCTTCCATCCTCCGTAACAAAGATGATTTTCCTGGCCCTCCCTTTTTCAAATTCTAACTAAAACACAACAAGTAATGTACTGACAAACAAATGCATATGAAAGTGGTTTAAAAAAAAAATATATATATATAAATGATAAAATTATTAAGTGCAAAAAAAAAAAATTGGAGACAGAAAACATTTCGGCACTCTTCCAAATACCAGTCCCAAATTATTTACTGTTAAAAATATCCCACTCAGGGCCTCAAGAGGTCATATAGTTAAAAATATGGAATAGGAACACTACAAACTATGCTCCGCGTTATTATATAATTTCTAAATTTCATTTGCACCAAATGCTTGAGGTTTCGGTCACAGCTGTAAGTATTCTGTCTGTCAACCGGGTGACGGGTGTTGATTCCCTGCAGAGTGATAATTATTTTGTTGCCCTTAAAAGGGCGATTGGCACATGGTGGTGTGGTTTACAGCTAGGCTGAGATATCTGCATCTTTCGCGCCAACACATCTGATTTCTGCAATGTCCTAATTAGTCGCCGTTTACAAAATGGGGCTCTCCTCTGAATAACGGTCCCAAATGATCTACGCAGAAAGTAAACCCTAACTGAGCCTCATTACGTCCTACCCTACAAAGATTTAAAAGTTGTAGCTCGGATTTACAGTGACCACCCTAAATATTGCTGTGGCACTTTTTGTGGAGGAGGACGAAAGCCCAACTAATTTTACACACGTTCACCAAACAACTGTGTCCAAAAGCTCTCTTCCTCTTGCGAATTCTCCAGCCCTGTGTGCTTAGGCTTAAGCTAGGAATTACTATTTCGTTAAGTCGTTAAGCTTTTGATTCACAGCCAATCTAAATCTAAAGCATCTTCAAATCAATGTCCTGTCTGTCTTTTCAACATTTAGAATTATAAACCAGCCAATTATAAGTGTAACTTAAAGCTACATGAAAAATATCAATACATCAACATCGTTCATTAAGTACGTTTGATGGTATGATCATCTCTTTTCTCTAGTGCCTGATTTGATTCAAATCAGATTTGAACTCTAACCCCAGTTAGTTGTCTTATCTTCATTCTTAGTCGATGTGCTTGTAGTAATTGTAAAGTCAGTTTAGTCAGGACAATCTCTAGCGTTTCTGTCACACTTAACCAAGTCAAATCCTTTGCCAGGAAATAGCCAAAGAGAATCTTTTAAAACATTAATAACAAACAGTCAGTACTTACAATGGTTCTCACATGTCTCAAGAATCTCCTACACGGCAGAGATTTTCTAACAACTCTTACGAACGTCGCCATCGTGATATTGACCCGGAAGTATTTACCAGGGAGCCTGTTGCAAGCGGTCTGGGATCAGGGCTGCCGAACTTTTTGGGGAAATAGTACAATTTTTGTTAGTTTGGGAAAGGTACACCAAAAGGTGCCACATTTTTAATTAAAAAACGACTTAAACGTCTGTAATACACACACACACACACACACAACTGGCGTATCTTATATATGACAAGAATTGAAGTTCTTTTGCTGACAACAAACCATACAGAATATTTTCATCCGCTAGATTTTGCTTTATTCCTTTAGGAGTATTATCTTATCATTATCATAAATAACTTAGCTAACATTCACATTTTTTTAAATTCTTGCTGATAATGGAAACCTGAACTCAAACAACCAACCAGCATGTCATTTACAGGACGTCGCTTTTTAGTGCACGCCAGAAAGTCTCTCTTTCTCTAGCACTGTGTGCTTTTATAGCCACAGAATCTTTAATGCCCTCTATCCACTTTAGCGTCGGCTCTGTGTCTGAGTCGACGCGAACGCTTCATAATGCCGGGGTGCTGAGTTCGATCCCACCTGAAGATCATATACCTTGCGTTAGTTTCAACAGTGGTATCAGGACCGTCCAGATAGCAGTAGCAAACTACTGGACGTAACTTGCCTAGAGAAACCACACAACAGCCAGGGGCATCTGGGGTTAGTTCTGCAACGTCCTGTAAAGGATACGCAACTTCAGATTCACTTTCTCAGAGGTCGGCCTCTGCTTCATTTTCCGGAAATTGTGCCCTGCATCCCCATTCTCCCCAGACCACCATGACTGACTGAATGGCTTTTTACCCTACTAGAACATCACACTGAGCGATAAATACCACGTGACACAAAGTGCCACCATTCGGATGAGGATCACCCCACGGTCGGCTCCAGCAGTAAAGGAGACGGTGGATCACCTGTAGAGAGGTCACAGAAACCCCGTTCAATAGTTAGGTTATAATAGGGTTCCCGGCAACAACTAGGATGGGGCTTTAAAATAGCGAAATTTTCGTCCTATGGTAGACCACCATGTTCAAAATACCCCAACTTTCCGGAAAAATACTGTTTACGAACAAGTTCCCCTGGGAACTGTAGTTTTTGAAAAAGATCCGAATAACTATGCCTATATAATAAAATGTAATAATTAAAAGTTCTTAAATCCTTAAAAATAAAATTGAATTAGAAAGATTGAGCATCAAACAAACTGGAATGTTAAACTGTGACAAAGGACGTGGCAACTCATTGACCTGGCTGCTTCGAGATACTAAGCTAAGTGATTTTGCGCATTTGTGGGGTATTGTTTGGTTTATGTATGTGCTGATGAGGCTCCATAGCCACAACGTTACATTTTGTTTGTGTTTGTTATATTGCGAAGCTTGCTGATATACTTTCCGTTCGGTTTTATATCTTTTCTTGAAGACGTAAAAGAAAACCATATATCAGTTGTCTGGAGTGACATTCCTATTCTATACTAGCCTTAGCGTAGCAGTTGAAACAAAAGCGGAATTTACCAATCTCCTTAAACGGTATATTTACATCAGGCTTATTTTTATGAAGTTCTTAATCACTAGTTTAAAAGACTCAGTGTATTGTCAACAATTACAATTTTTAAAACGTACCGAAACATCAACAGTAGTTTTGCCCGACAAGGGTCAAATGGTACAAAATTCGTACGAAAATACCAACTTCGGCAGCCGTGTCTGGAATCCGTGGGGAGCTGTATTTGAAAGCGAGATGTACTCACTCACAATAAAATATCCGATTGGTGTTCGTATAAAAGTTTCAGTTCACGTAGAATCGGCTCGCTGCAAACTGCTCTGATAAATAAAAACTCCACTACAAATTAAAGAAAGGAAATCAACAAGATTACGGTAACTAATCTTTCACTTTTTCAGACTTAAGAAAAATGTAACTATGCAGTACACAGTCAGTACTTACAACCATTTTACCTAAACTTTAACTGAACTTTCAGGACGGCATTTTTTCCGGGTTTGGACACTGTCCAGGACAGAATAAAAGTTGATTTTTTTTTTTAAACTGCAACATGACAAAAGCTAAAACTTTCCTGGAGAAAAGCATTTGCTGTGTAATGACATATAATATATCAAATTAAAGGGAAATCAATACATAATAATTTAAGTTAATTAAGGATCAGTATTCAATAAAAATTGTCTATTGCAACAAGAAAATATTAAAATACCACCACATTCATTCTCAAGGGCGTTAGACATACATGAAGACTTTTGACACATGACATTTTGTACTTATCCTAATAGTTTACTTGATCTTGATCAGTGACACTGCTATCCAAGTATAGGAATTAACATGCTTTCTCTATTCAGTTATGCATTAGCTAGTCTTTTTTGTTGTTGTTGATGAGAGGGTTAATTCAAATACTTTGTATTTTATGATCATTTTTGTGTTTTTCAAATTTCATTTTTTTTTTTTTAAATTTGATAATCCTGAATACAACAACCTAACTGGGTGGGATATTTCCTAAAACATCCTTTTGGGGCACAGGTGAAGTTTGGCAGCACACCACACACACAAAAACTGCTGCATTTACAAACATGTCTTGCTGCACTGAACGCATTGCCTGTCTGCACCATCAAAATCAGTTAAATTTGCTGCCCCAACAAGACTGTCAGACATTGACAAGGCTGGCTTTCTGCCAGGTTTGTGAACCAAAGCTGTGGCCATGTCTGCTGGAACTTCATTACCTGAGGAGAGCAGCTAGTTGCAGGATGCTCATCCATAAACCAAGACCGTCTCCAGCTGATGGACCAAGCTGATGATGTCATCAGCTTGATGTAACATCACTAAACTGGGCTAACAATACACGATATATTAAGTTTTCACCCTGACAGTCCCTTTTTTTTCGGTGTGTTCCCTGCCATCCCCCACAGGAATATGCTTGAGAATTAAATAAATATAAATCTGCACACAATATGACAACATAGAAACATAAAGTACACAAGAAACTACTTATATTTTTAGCTGCAGTATGTCCCATAATGTAGTCACATAATCCTCTGTAAATTTAGATTGAGTGAACTTAGCCAATTTTCTTTTCTTGGATGATTAATCCAGCAAGGATGTATTGTTTTGGACTTTCCGGTTCTCCTTAAAACTACGGCCACTTATTATGGAGTACGCTGGAGTTCAGTCCCCTGGCCGCATTGCAATTACGTAGTGGAAAAGAGGGAACAACACAAATGACGTAATTACTGTTTGTTGGCGATAGACAGCGTGAACCGATGAGGTTATTACTGTGTGTTGGCGATAGATGCACTGCTGTCATAATAGGGTTAGGGTTTGGGTTAGGGTTAGGGTATTGGTACTCCTTAAAACTACGGCCACTCCTAACCCTAACCCTATTATGGCAGCAGTGCATCTATCGCCAACACACAGTAATTACATCATTTGTTTCGTTCCCTCTTTTCCACTCCATAATTGAACTGCAGCCAGGGGACTGAACTCCGGCGTACTCCATAATAAGTGGCCGTAGTTTTAAGGAGAACAGACTTTCCTATAGTTATTCAGAAAAACATTTGCCAGAGATAGCTACAGCTGGTTGATATAAAAAGTGTTCAGAAATGTACAAAAAAGGCAACTCAGATAAATGCGTGGTCAATTGCTTGATACTGAAAGAGCTCAGGAATAACAAACTTGTATATGATACAAATGATACATTGTACAGTTTATCGCCTGTCATATTTCCCTGTATCTCCACCATTGCCGGGCCTTAGCCCTGATGAAAAAGGAGGGCCAGTTTCCCCCCCCCCCCCCAACAATTTTTTTCTAGAGAGTCAAGTACTGTGTGGAGTGTGTGTATGCACAGAGTGCATGTATGAAGGTTATGGATAAAAGCTGCTCTGCGGAAATTACTGATGCACACTACTTGACTGACAAATAATCACTAGAAAACGAACATAAAATGGAAAGAAACTCAAGAGAGGTGAAGAAATAAGAGAAACATCTGAGCAACTACTTGTATCAGCAGTTACAGGACAGAGAAGATAGCACTACATTAGAAACATCCTGACAAGAAATGAGCAGAGAATCACCAAACAGGCACTAAAATAGGAATTAAAGGAATTAAGGAGGAAGTTTTGAGGTTTTGAACAACCGGTCAACATAATGGCACACTGGTGTAACCCATTAGTGCTTCATTCTTCTTCTAGCTCGTCTGAGTCCGAAGAAGATCAGCACACTGCACAGGCTCTGTAGCACCGACGAGGATCCTGAAATACTTTGGATAGATTTTTAACTCCAAATTTAACCTGGGCAGTGCCGTAAGGCTACTCTTTTCGGTTTCCAACTGCCAAGGTATTTTTTTATGTGCGCAACAATTCACATGGGCGTCCAATCTCACCCCTCCCCCCCATCCCCACCTTCCCGAGACCAGGGGGAATTACTAGAAGTCCAAGTAGACGTGAAAAAATCCCAGCCTTTACTGGGTATTGAACCCAGAAACTCTAGCACTCGAGGCGGACACCATGTCACGAGACCACGCAGCTCCCTTAAGGAGGAATGATACCCAAAAGAAACCCTAAAACGAATGTTGATGAGAGGGACCAAAGGTGCTGGACGATTCCATCCATGATATCAAACTGATTGCACAGGAGAGAACAGAATGAAGGAATAGACTGTGAGCTCTATGTGACATCTAATGGCACAAGAAGACAATAAATGAATGAAAATATTTCCCTGTATCTAATCAGATGCAATACTACATAGTTACATCAATCTATGATAAAGCACAACGTGTGCTTTTCACTGAAATACACAAATCGGTTTCTGCTCCTTCAAAAACTTAAACAGGCAATCTTGCACTAGGATCTTGCGTTTCAATGTGAATAATCCATCAGTTACTTGAATGTAGGTTGTGGGATTTGGCACTTCAGCAATTCAGAACAAGTGAATGAAGGTTTTTTACAAATATAACTTGCCTGCCAGTAGTGAGTCACAATCTGTTGAAATTCATTGAGAAATAAAAATAAAGCTTCTAGTATTTCAATGTCAATAATGAATGCAATTATTTTACCTTTACTGTGTCCAACCCCATTCCATTCTTTTCATTCTCCCTTTTAAAGCAGTCTTTGTATTTGCAGGAAATCACAGTTCGCAGTTGTAATGGAAAAATATGAAAAAATTCGAGTCGTTGGACGTGGTGCTTATGGGTAAGTATTAAAATATGAAGATGAATATGCCAGTTTATACATGCACATGATCATTATTTCTTTAATAAGTCTATATTTCTTTAAATTGCAGCGTATTAGATTATTGAGCCATGAGATGAGAGCTAGAACAGTACACAAATTGTGAACAAACAGTCAGGACAGAATAAAACAAATTTTCATGTGATCTTCCAGAACACTGAAAAACATATTTTCACATTTTAGATACATTAGTTTTCAGAAAATTAAGTTACTGTTTTATAATAGCAGAATTAAAGACATATTCCATTGCTTTTACTTCCCATCATATTTCCAAATACTCAGGCTGCTTCAGCCTTGAGAAGGGGGAGGGATAGGTTATACAAATCTACCTGGATGAGGAATCAAACTACAAATTGTGTAGCCTGCAGGTAGTGTAGGGCTACTGGGCTACTGCAGCTCTTAAAAGGTTTGACACATACAACATCTTATACTGTCAGAAATTATTAGGGGGACATGAAACAGAAGACAGTGGTCAGGCGTGATGACTATCACCACATGGCAAAAACTAGAACAAGAAGAAAATATACAATAAATATAACTGATAAACATCGTGATCTCTGGGACATGAAACAGAAGACAGTGGCCAGGCGTGATAAGCACCACGTGGCATGGATTAGAACAAGAAGAAACTATACGATAAATATAACTGATTAACATCGTGATCTCTGGGACATGAATCAGAAGACAGTGGCCAGGCGTGATAAGCACCACGTGGCATGGATTAGAACAAGAAGAAACTATACGATAAATATAACTGATTAACATCGTGATCTCTGGGACATGAATCAGAAGACAGTGGCCAGGCGTGATAAGCACCACGTGGCATGGATTAGAACAAGAAGAAACTATACGATAAATATAACTGATAAACAACGTGATCTCTGGGACATGAATCAGAAGACAGTGGCCAGGCGTAATAAGCACAAAATTTACAATAAATATAACCGATAAACATCATTATCTCTGCACACTTTAATAAAGAGGATGTGGTAAAGGTTCTCTGGAATAAAATGGACAGTGCAGAACAGAGGTAGAGAATCCATACATTGTAATACTAATTTACCGGGGTGGGGGGGGGGGGGGGGGGGGGTTGGTGGTAAGTAGAGGTTGTGGAAGATATCCAACACTGAGGGGGAAGCATAGGTCAGGTTGCAGCTGGTAATATCAGCATAATGATTCTTCGTTGGCTACTGAAGAAGGGGATGGAGCATGTATGGGAATGTTAAGAGTGCATTGATATCAGTTTTATATTCATTCATTGATGATCTCTACACATTGGAAGATGGCAAAGCAGAATTTTAAACATAAATACATTACATGTTTGCTGCTGCTTTTTCTTTACATCCTGTTTTACTGCTTCAGGTGTCAAGGAAGATATAAGGTCCTGCTTTGTGCTCTTCTGGCTACCTCGGCCATAGACACATCTTGGTGCTGTAGAGTTTCTCTGATGTTATCTTCCCATTTGTTCTTGGTCTGCCTCTTGCTCTACGTTCCTTTCCTCTTTTTAAATATGCCTTTTATGGTATAGCATCAGAAGGCATTCTCTCCAAGTGGGCAAACCATTTGATTTGCTGTCTTTGTATATCATTTAGAATTGGTTCTGTGCCGACTTTTATCTCGTATGACCTCATTCCTGATTTTATCTCTTCTTGTCACTCCTATAGTCTTTCTTAGACACCTCATTTCCATGATTACTAATTTTTTTTAATGTTTTGTTGTGAGTGACCACGTCTAGCAATGCTATCGTAGGGTGAGAATGAATATGCTTTGTATGTCTCTTTGTGTTGATTAGGATTGCCTTATGCTGTAAGAGGGGGGCTAGCTGTCTCAGTACTTGGCCAGCTTTACTGCATCGGATGTCAGTTTCTTCGTCCAATTCACCATCTTCAGTCATGTTTGCTGCAATTGAATAAAAGTTTTGTTACAAACATAACTTCAACCCCTGCCAGCTGCAGTGAAACATAAACTATTATATTTTTATTATGAAAGGAAAATGACGTTTTAATTATTTTAATGTAGACGGTTGAATACTATTATATTCCCTGTGTATGTTCTGGGGGGCCCTTTATGGGGGGGGGGGGCGCCTTTATGGGGGGGGGGGAAATGAGGAATAGGCCCACTGCCCACCCAACAAGCATGTCATAGGAGTCGACTAATTGGGGGCAACCTTCAGTTGGAGTGCATCTGCCTGAGAGGTAAGGAACCAATAGTCTGCATACAGATTAGTCAGATCTGTAAACAGATGTGCAGGCAGCACTCAGGTTCTGGAACAATACTAAAGTCCAGAGGTGGACGAACAACCAGAACTTTCCGCCAGAGTTACAGCCCTTGAACCCGAAGAAGAAGAAAGGAGAATACTATTATTATTTCACTTTTAGTGAATAAAAGGTACTGAAAACAAGGTACATTGAATTTTCCACAGAACTGTTCACCTTTGTGTGCGTCTCAGTGATCGTAAAGAGGTCATCATCAAGCAGATACCCGTGGAACAGATGACAAAAGATGAACGTCAGGCAGCTCTCAATGAGGTGAAGGTACTGTCTATGCTACACCATCCCAACATCATCCAGTACTTTGAAAACTTTCTAGAGGATAAAGCACTGATGATAGTAATGGAGTATGCACAAGGTAAATATAATTGTTTGTTTCAACAAATTAGAAATAATCTGAATTTTCATTACCTTCTATGTTTCTTCTTCAACTTCTTCCTCCTTTTCCTCCTTATCTTCTTCTTGTTCTGCTGCTGCTGCTTTGCATTCACCAGCTGTAAACAGATTGAAAATCCTGGTTGTTTGTCCACTTCTGGACTTTGGTCTTGTTTGAAGGACCTGTGTTTTGCTTGCACATCCATTTTACACATCTGACTTACTGTCGGCAAACTGTTGATTCCTTGCCTGTTAGGCAGGTAATGTAGGAAATGTTGATCCTGTCTGTGTTGGCTAGCTGGGCACTTGTTTCTGGGATGAAAGTGGAGTGGTGTAGATCAGTGTTCTTCAAATGATGGGCAACAGAAAAGCCCTGATGGACCACCCCCAAAAAATGTGGATAATCATGTAATGGGGTAGGGTAGGTAGTTTCTCTCTTCCAGGGCTGCCAAAGTCTGTAGGGTTAACACAAGGATGAAAATAGAACTGGGAAACCCCGCTAAACCCCATAGATTTTTTAAACCTTTGCAGTAGATGCTACATTAGCTGAAAACTAATGTTGTGACATCAGATTAAAAAAAAATTATTGCTGTGAGTTGAGTTGATTCAAGAACCGACATCACAGCACTCTGGGCATTTCCCATAAGCGCTCCGTCCCCATCCTTAGTGAAGAGTTCAGAAGAGTTCCGATATTAATGGTGCCAGTAGCATTTTGATTAAACATCCGTCTTGCCTTTCCTCTGAGCCTCGAGCATCCGCCAGAACCTCTCGTCACTCCCCGGTGCATCAATCTCACCAGACTGTGGTAATCCATCTGCCCCCCCAAACTGTACACGCTCTCCCACAAGGCACTAACCATGTCTGCCTTATCATGCATCAGAATTTCGCCAGCCAGTCTGTCCACCTGTTCATTTCCCATCACACTGGCATTTCCCGGTGAAAAAATCCAGACAATACTCCTCACCCGTGTCCTCCACAGTGAAACATGTCACTCTGCACAAAGCATGTCTGTCCTGACCTTCCTCAGCATCTTTCTGAGTTTGCTGTGATTATTTGTCGATGTTTTTGATATTTACTGCAGTACTGATTTGATGACAGAGTTAAACAGTGCATGTTTTCTATTTTTGTTGTTGATCATCTGTAAATTTCCTTATACTGTAAAAGCGATTTTTTTTTTTTTTTGTCTTTAGTTTTAACAACTCACTGCTACCAGTGGCACACTTAGACACTTTCAGTAACTCCCATACATATCAAGGCTTGAGTTGAGAAGATTTAGGAAAGCCTTTATTGAAACCACACAAGACCAGATGAGAAATTCTAGTGTCAGCTATTTTCAGCACAGCACTGCTGGAAGCATGGGAGTCGCCATGGCGTAGTGGCTAGACGCTCGTGTGCGGATCGAAAGGTCGTGGGTTTGCTCCCTGACGGAGCTAGACTTTTTTTTTTCAAAAATGACTTTTGACTCCTAGGTTGACCCAGCCTTGAGTTGGTACCGGGTGCAGTTCTGGGAAGTAAAGGCAGCCGGCGTGATGCTGACATCACCCATCTTGTGCTGATTGGTCTATAAAAATATAGGTCTAGCCCTATATGCCCTAAAGGCGTGGAAAAGGGACCTAAACTGCTGGACCCATACAGGTTGAAAACAAATATGTATCCTTCCTCTACTGGGTTTAAATGTGAACAACTATCTTGTCAGGCGAATGCACTAACTACTTTGCCACCTTGACATCCTGTTTATTTATTTCCTAAAGAAAATGATGTAGTTATAATTCTTCGCTGAATGTGCTTATTTCATAATTTATTACACATCTCTTTGTACAGGTGGAACACTGTTAGACTTCTTGCAAAACCAGAATGGATGTCTACTTGAAGAAGAGGTAAGGTTTTTGGCTGGTACTTTTCTTAATTGTAATTTATCTTTATTTATGGCACTTTAGATGTCTGTTACAGTAACAAGCAGCATAAAAAAAAAAGGTCAACTAAGATTAAAATTTAAGTAACACTAGATGGAAGAAGAATGCCCAAAAAAGAAAAAGAAAAGTACAACACATCGTATGAGATAGGTTGGTTAGCAAATCAGACATACTTTTTTGTGGTGATTATTATTGTTATTGAAACATTGCAGATTGACATTATGACACATAATTGCATGATTATTTTCCCTGACATGTATGACACATAATTGCGTGATTATTTTCCCCGCCTGGGTTCTGGGGTCCCATTGTGGGTTTCGGGGCCCCATTTTAGGTAAAACAATAATAGACCACTGCCTCCCCAACTAACATGTCATTGGAGTCCACTAGTTGTGGGCATCCTTTGATTCCTGAGAGGCACGGAACCAAGAGTCTGCATACAAATTAACCACATCTGTAAAAAGGATGTGCATGCAACAATCAGGTTCTGGAACGTGACTAAAGTCCAAAGGTGGATGAAAACCCAGAACTTCCCAACGTGGTCTACAGCTGGGGAAGTAAAGAAGAAAAAGAAGTCTAATTATTTATTACTAACTCACAGTTAAATTTACTAAATTAAAATTACTGGTGGTAGCAAAATCTATAAAAGCTAAAGAGAAAATTAGATTTTAAGATCAGCTGTCCTTAGTGGCCTCTTGTGACATATTTGGTAGGTTCCAGTCTCACTAGCCCTTCCCCCCCCCCCCCCCCCCCCCCCAATCCTTTTAAAAGGCCCAGGTAATAAATGCAACTTATTGCATTATGTAATTTAACAATTCGCTATTGGAATTGCTTTTTTTTAAAAAAATATCCTAGATTTTCACTCAGATGACATATCCACATTAAAGATCACGAAATAGCAAATATGTCATTCTGTGGCTTAGAGGTTGGAAAATGTATTTCACAATCACTCAGTCAATTTCCACAGTAGACGGTTTAGAGAAAAATCTTCTGGGGCTTTGAGACAGTGGTACTGAAATCAAACCATGGACGAGAGTTGGGCTTCGCCGCATATTATTCCCAAAGATCTCAGTGCATGCACATATGCATTACAGCCATTTTCCATTGTGGAGATACCACATTTGAAAATATAGCAAATTATGGCAGCCATGAGAATATATAGCGATACCTTGGTATACATCATCATCATCATCATCATCATCAGGTGCCTTGCCGACTGGCGTGGGCGATCATGCCTCTCCATAATCTGCGATCTCCTGCAGCATGTATCAGTTTGTGTGCCGACACACCTCCATGCCATGCAACAAGACTGTCAAGCATCTTCTCTCGTTGTCTTCCTCTATCCCTTTTTCCACAGATCTTTCCAGTGGTCACAGCATGTTCTATTTTCCCTCTTCTCATAACATGGCCGAAAAATGATGACTGTGATAAGTTGTCTTCGGGCTCCCGCCTCTTTCAAAACCTCTTGGTTGCTCTTTTTGGCTGCCCAAGGTATTCTAAGCATTCTTCTGTAAAACCACATCTCTGAGGCCTCTAAAAATTGTTTGGCCTGCTTACCGATTGTCCAGGATTCACATCCATATGTTAAAACTGGATGTATGTAGCAAGCAAGAATTCTTTTTCTAACTCTCAATGACAAGGATATGTTGCACAAGATGTTTTTCATTTTATAAAATGCAGTTTTTGCCTGTCCAATTCTGTTTCTTATTTCAGTTATGCATCTTCCATCTGATGTTATCCATGCGCCCAGATACTTAAATTTCTGTACTTGTCCTAAAATAACACCATTGACTTTTATTACTCATTTAGGAATAATTTGTTTCTTTGATACCACCATTACTTCTGTCTTCCCATTATTCAAACTGAGGCCCATTCTTCCATTTTCTAACACTACAATGTCTATCATTTCCTGTAATTCTTTCTGACTTGTTGCTATCAAGACTGTGTCATCAGCATAACGTAAATTGTTTATATTGTGCCCACCAACCACAATTCCGGGCATATCAATTAAAGATCTCATTATATATTCACTGTATATTGAAAACAAATCAGGTGACAATACACATCCTTGTCGTACGCCCCTCTTTATGCTTTGAAATGTACCTAAACAGTTGTTTATTCTTATAGCTGCTGTTTGCTGCCAATACATATTCCTTATTATTCATAGATCTTTCCCATCAATGTTTAATTTTTCTAACAGTTTGATTACTTCTTCATGCTTCACACAGTCAAATGCTTTTGTATAGTCTATGAAGCATAAGTACAAATCAGTCTTTACTTCTATAGCTCTTTCTGACAATGTCCTTAGGATGTAAATGGCATTGTTTGTACTTTTTCCTTCTACAAATCCACATTGTTCATCGCTGATTTCTGGTTTAATTTTGTTTCTTATTCTTCTCATAATTATTCTCAGTAAAATCTTAGTCATGTGACTCATAAGACTTTTTATGCGATGGTCTTCACATTTTAAAGTGCCTGGTTTCTTTGGCAGAGCTATAATTATGGATTTTAAAAGTTCATTTGGAATATACCCACTATTATAAATATCATTTAAAAGTTTAGTTATTATTTCAATTCCAAAATCTCCCAGTGCTTCGATTTCTTCCAGTGAGATATGGCCTGTCCCGGGTGCTTTTCCTTTCTTCATATGATGTATTGCATCCTCAACTTCTGCAGTCATTATTGATGGACCATCATTGTTGGTCTGCAGTTCTACATCTGGTCTATCATACAGTTCCCCTATATACTCTGTCCATCTGTTAATTATATTACTATGTCCCATTAATAAGTCATCATCTTTTGATTTCAAACATCCAGTGCTGTTACGTGTCATCTTTCCTGTTAACATATTTATCTGTTGGTACATGGAATGTGAGACCTTCCTGTGACTTTCCCCAATCTCTGTACACATTTGATTCAGCCAGGCTTCTTTAGCCACTTTGCATTTGTTCACTATTTCTTTTTGAATTCTAGAGTATTCTTCTTTATCATTCTTTTTCTTCCTTCTTTCATCCATCAACTGCAGAATTTCGGTTGACATCCATTTCTTTTTTTGCAACTCTATGGGTTGGTGGGATTGTCTCTTTTGATGTCTGCTGAATTGACTCATGCAACATATCCCATTGTTCATCAATAGTCTGTATAATTTCCATTGCATTATACCGGTTTTGTACAGTGACATTGTACTGTTCCTTAATTTCTTTATCCGTTCTAAGAATTCCTAAATTTAACTTAATGTTCTGTGGTGTTTTACTAATGTTCTTTAGTTCTATTCAAATTTTTCCTACAACTGGAACATGGTCACTAAAGCAGTCTGCCCCTGGTCTAGTTTTTGCTCCAACTAAGCTGCTCTGGAATCTTCTTGAAATCAAAATATAATCAATCTGATTGCGGACATTATCACCAGGACTTTTCCAAGTCCACAGTCTTCGAGGATGGTGTTTAAACCAGGTGTTACCTATTATCATGCTGCGCGACTCAACCCATGCTATTAATCTGTCACCTCTCACATTCTTTTCTCCTAGGCCAAAGCCACCTGTTATTCCGTACACTTTTTCACTTCCTACTTTCGCGTTGAAATCTCCAAGTACCATTGTTACTTCACAATTTTTGCATTGATCAACAGCCATGTCTAACTCGTCATAAAATGCATCAATATCTTCCTCTGAACTATTTGCTGTTGTGGCATAAATCTGTACTAAGTTGATGTCAAGCGGTCTGCCACGAAGTTTTACTAATAGTACTCTATCTGATGTTGTCCAAAATCCTTTAACAGTTTATGATTTCTTTGGATCCAAAATAATACCAACTCCCTTACTATATTCCTTCCCACCCGAGTAAATAATTATGTGCTGATCTGAATACTTTTCCCCTGCTCCTGGTCATCGCATTTCACTAGTTCCTAATATGTTGATGTTCATTCTCTTAATTTCCATCTTGATGTTATCCAGCTTTCCGTTTTGTATGAGTGTTCTGACATTCCATGTACCAATGTTCATGATGTTTCTACCATTAACTTTTTCTACAGTAACTGGATGACGGTCGGGTATCATTCGTAGAACATGATGCTCCCTACCGGACGAAGTGATTCCACCGGAATCCCCATTCACGTCGTTATCTGAATACATATTATTTTGAGGCATGATTTTCTTGGGATAGTACAGCTGTGGTTTCCCCTTGCCTTTCGCCGGTTCATATATGGTTTGACTCCAAAAGCCTTTGTCTAAAGAGATTTACCCTGCAAGGCAGCAGGGGGGAGAGGTTATGGCGCCTCTTACCTGCCGATGGCCATGTCGTTGAGTTTTGAGGTATTTTATAGTTAGCTGTCCCACCAACTAACTCGCCCCCTCTCAGTGACCATCACCTGTTTTGGTCCACGGCCACTTATTCAATATATTCGTGGCTAACCTCTATATCTAGAGGCCCTTTCACCATCCGCCACCTGGTGGACGCGCCTAGTAGTAGGACAGGCTCCTTCCCCAGGTATACATACTAAATCCATTCCTGATCCTTGGACAGAGACCAGATAAGACGAATCCCTAACAAATTTTCCCCTTAAGAAATAAACTTAGAATGATTAATCCATGAGAAGATATAGCGATACCTCGGTATGCATACTAAATCCATTCCTGATCCTTGAACAGATACCAGGTAAGACGTATCCCTAACAAATTTTCCCTATAAACCTAGAATGATTAATCGATTCTGCATAGAAAAAATCTGATTGTTATTGTTATATTATACATTGATAACGTCACCCACCAAGTGCCGATTGGTCTATACAAATATCGACTTAACCCTGTATTCCCAATATGCCTGAAGGCGGGGCAAACAGACCTTTATACATTGATAGGGTTGTATAAAATCATTTACATACTGCCTAATACTACAGTAAATAAATACAAAAGCAATTAGATAAAATAAAATGAACATTAACCTCACTTTACGTTCCTAAGAAGAATCGAGTGCCAACTAGGATGGTGCGGAGAAGGGGCAGATGTTACTGTTCGGAGGAGTCTCCTCCCAATAGAACTTAAGGAATCTGAAATTTTTTCCCGTTTTTTCTGTCTTTTTTGTTTTGTTTTTTGTTTGGTGCCACTTGAACCTGTTTGAGGCTCACCAGGTTTGACTTTTACTAAAATTAAGTCCAAAAGAACTTTGCTTCTGCCTTTTGCTGAGAATTTTTAGGAGATATGGCACTGTCTTGTCAATGTCTGGTAGCATGCTGTGTTGTGATATACAGATTTTAGCACATGGGTTGTATTCCTTAAAAAAAAAAATGTTTATACCAAGCAAAAGTGTTCACATCTAAATAGGGTGTATACTAAGTTGAATGTATACAAAAGCAAACGTATACCGAGGTACCACATTATGTATTTTCTGATTCTATCATCAGGTCTGATTGTTGCATTTCAGGATATCTTGAAGTTCTTTGTTCAGATGACGTTGTCCTTGCAGCATGTTCACTCAAAACAGATTCTGCACAGAGATCTGAAAACACAAAATATTTTGTTGGACAAAAGGAAAGAGGTTGTTAAGATAGGAGACTTTGGAATTTCAAAAGTTCTCAGCAGCAAGAGCAAAGCCTATACTGTAAGTATACAGTTTGCTGTCGTACATATGTGATTTGTGGTTTTAGAAGTGTTAACTAGTTTGATTTTAAAACATAGTGAAGCTCCATGTGGGTTCCGGAGCCCTATTGTAGGGAAAACAAGAATAGAAGCACTACCTACCCAAAAGCATGTCGTAAGAGTCGACTAATTGGGAGCTTCCTTCGAAGTTGGAGTGCATCTGCCTGAGAGGCAAGGAACCAGCAGTCTGCATACAGATGAGTCTGATCTGTAAAATGGATGCACACGCAACACAGGTTCTGGAATAGGACTGCAGTCCAGAAGTGGATGAACAACCATAACTTTCTGCCAGTTTACAGCTGGTGAAAATAGGGCTGCACAATGAGCGATTAACATGCAGTGATACATGATGCTGCCATTCAGCTGAGAATACCCCCAGGAACAAGTCCCTGAAACCCTGCTCAACAATTAGGTTATGTTAGGACCCCCAAAGACAGCCAGTGGGGCTTTAAAATAACCCCACCCAAAAAATTGCATCCCATAGTGGGACAGGTTATTAGGTGAAATAATATTGATATCATTTGTATTTTTCAGAGTATTGAAAAAGCTAGTTTGCCTATCTTTAATAGGGCAATGTAAAACCAACCCCAGCATTTTTCAACTGTTGCAATTTTTCTCAGATTTTACGTTCAGTCGTTTGCCATTGCTTTCTGTTTGGTCAGCTCTATGTACCATTGTTAAAACCAACGCAAGACAAACCATCCGCAGCTGGGATTGAATCCAGCACCCCATCATTACAAAACGCGTTTGCAATGCCTAAGCCACAGATGCCGACTTTAAGAGTATTGACTGACTGAATTTGTGATGCAGCTCTGCAGAACCATACGTGACATACACCAGGACCAGGGTTCATACTGGTCACAACCTTTTTACACCTATCCGCCGACTGGGAACCTACCAACATAGATGGGATTGATGTTTCCTTCAAAGTCGGAGGGCATCTGATGGAGAGGCAAGGAAGCAGAAGTCTGCACACAAAAAAGCTGGATCTGGAAAATAGATGTGCACACACAACTAAAGTCCTGAAACAAGAGTAAAGTCTAGAAATGGATAAACAAGCATAACTTTCCACCATTTTTCATCCAGTGCACGTAAGGAAGAAAAAGAAGGGAAAAATATGCCATCCCCACAATAGAAGTTGGCTGCAGTATATCCATTGCCCGGATTTCTTCTACTATAGACTCTATACCACTGTCTGAAAACCATGAGGATCTTTTTTAAACCATCCAGAATAGGAATTGAACCCTGGTGAAAACCGGGATTATACATTATGAACCCATTTCAGTAACCCGTCTTTGCCACAGAGCCATATTTAATTTTCGCAGAAAGCTAGAAATTTTTTTTTTATTGCCCAATAACTTATATCACCTACAATCATCATAAAGGGTTTAGAAAGTAAGTTAAAATATGAATTAGAGGATGTGCAGGCAAGTAAACTTGCTATAAAAATTTGGTATTTTTTAATTCTTAAAAAATATAATATTTTCATTTGTTACCTTTTTTTTAAATCACAGTTAAAAGCTGGATTATGTGTTGATTTGATTTGATTGTCTGTTTAAAAAATGTTACTTTCTCTTTAGGTTGTTGGAACTCCATGTTATATTTCACCAGAGCTCTGTGAGGGCAAACCGTATCCTTCTGAAAATCGTTAGTACAAGAACTCCATCTTTTGTGTATTTGATAACTTTTTCACTTATAATCCAGTCCAGTGTAGTTAAGATTGCCTAGTTTAAACACAAAGCTTAGAATTTGATTTGATTTGATTCAAGAACTGACATCACAGCACTCAGGGCATTCCCATATGCGCTCTGTCCCCATCTTCAGCAGCCAGCGAAGAGTTCCGATACTAATGGTGCCAGTAGCATTCTGATTAAACGTCCGTATTGCCTTTCCTCTGAGCCTCAAGCTTCTGCCAGAACCTCTTGTCACTCCCCACTGCTTATAATTGTCAAAAGCAACACTTTAGGAATAGTTTTATACAACAGTGAATGTTGGGAAATAACAGCAGGAATCCTGCAAAAACTGTTCTTCTTGTGAATCACTTGTGAATGCCTTGTGTATCAACATTGGCTCAAAAGGATATAGGTGGATATAGATTTAAGAATCCTTACCAAATGTATTATATTTTTTCATTTTCTCTAGACTCTGTTTTGCCTTTGAGTGTCAGATTTAGTAGAGCCATCTTGTGTGAGCCTTAGATTGGCTGCATTCACCATTCCATTCAGTAGCATGTCCCTCGCGGAACCTCGCTGCCATAACAACCCTTCGGAAAACCTTCCTATTCTGAGCAAGATGTCCTGCGTCTGATACACCCATCTGGAGATCATCTGCCACATCCTGCACCTATCTTCTCCTTGGCCTTCCTCTTCCTCTCTTCCCAGGCATATACCCCTCCATTATTGTTCTCTCTAGACTTCCATGACGTTTCAAGTGACCAAAATATTTCAATTTTCTTTGTTTTATTGTCTTTACTAGCCAACCCTCTTCAATATTCAGCTCTTGAAGTATGGATGCATTTGTTCTTTTCTTTACCCAAGATATTCTTAGAACCTGTCTGTAACATTTATATTCAAATGCATTTATGCGCTGTTCCGCTTGTTTTAGTAAGTGTCCAGGTCTCACAGGCGTATGTTGCAATGGGAAAGATGCATGCTCTTAAAAATCTGACCTTTGTAATTCTATCTGTACAATTCCATAATTTATTCAGTTGTTTTAGTCTTTGAAGAGCAATTGATAGTCGCCGTTTAATTTCTTTCATTGTGTCACCATTGTTGGTAACCAGTGACCCAAGATATTCGAAATTTTCCACCACTTCCAATCTTTCCTCATTAACATATATTTCCTTCTCCATGGCAGTTTTGTTTGTATGCATTATCTTTGTTTTTGCTATGTTAAGAAATAAGTTATGATTTTCACTATTTCTTTGGAGTGAGGTTAATAAGTTTTCTAAACCATTTTGTGATGTTGATAGTAATACTGTATCATCAGCATAACGAATTTCTGGTATTTCATGACCACCGATGTTTAGGGCATCATATTGTTCCTTGTTTATATCATCTCTTACATTTCTCAGTATATTTTCGGCGTACAGGTTGAACAAATATGGTGACAGCACACATCCCTGACGGACTCCTTGCTTGATGCCAAACCAGTCTGATGTCTCTCCATCTATTCTGACTGCTGCTTGTTGGTCTTGATAGAGCATTTTAATGAGCTGCACTATATGTGATGGAAAGCCCATATTCCTCATGATTTCCCAAAGCTTCTGATGTTGTACACAGTCAAATGCTTTTGAATAATCCACAAAACATAAGAACAGATTTACATTAAATTCTCTACACTTCTCTATTATTAAACGCATGTTGAATATATGATCTCTTGTTCCTCTTCCCTGTCTAAATCCAGCCTGAGCTACATTAATCTCTTCTTCCATTTGATTGGCTGCATAGTTGCTGGTATTCACAGCCTCAGATATTCGTTCCACCCATCCATCATTTGCATGGGTGACCTCTTCTGTTGTCATAATGACAGGGCTCTCTGTGGTGCACTATCTTGTGGTAGTCTTGACACGTTTCCGAACCATTTGATTTATTTATGTTCTAAATTCAACATTTATTCAAATAGTCATGTCATCTTCTTCTGGAACACTATCTTCACTCTCAAAATCCTGAATTCCCGCCTGAATTTCTTGTGACTCCATTTCATGTAGAGCATTGGCCATAGTCTCTCATGTTTAACAATAGAGCTTTGTTCACATGAGCATATCTTGTCCATGTAGACTGCTTGAGGTACATACAATCTCTCATTCTAGCTGATGGTCTTAGAGTTTATTTTTGGGGAACACAACAGTTTGGATTACTTGAAAACTTAACTACTTTAAAGATACAATCAGAAAAGCGACATATGGGCTCTTGGTTGTGTTCTGTATGAGCTGGCTAGTTTGAAAAGAGCATTTGAAGCAGCGGTAAGTTCTTCTTTGGTTCACTTGAAATAGATTATCTATGTCTGCAGTGTTGTCTGTAGTATTAGCTTCAAGTGGTAAGTTAACTTTACTCCTTTTAATATATATATATATATATATATATATATATATATATATATATATATATATATATATATATATATATATATATATATATATATATATATATATATATATATATATATATAATTTTTGTATATTTGTGTATTTGAAAATATAAGCCAAGTTTTTATTTGTGTGTGTGTGCTTATGAGTGGCTATGAGAACTGAAATATAATAATAAAAGGCAAATATCACATATGAAGATCTATGAGTAATGTTCACTGTTTTTAACAGTGTTTTTGTGTGTGTGGTGTATGTGGCCTAATCTTGTTGTTCTCACATGTTGTTAGTTATCTTAAAACTGATTCTGGGAGAACTAGCTTTTGTGTGTGTGTGTGCGTGTGCTTTCTTAAGAAGTGTAAAAAAAATATATTGTTTTAAATGTTATTTGTGTAAAAATATCTTCATCTTCTTAGGTGATTCCTTATTATTCATTTTCTCAAATACAATTGTTATTTTTTGTTGGGTCTTTTATGTTGAAAATTAACTTTTTACTGTTCTTTCTGTTCATGTGATATTTTTTGTCGTTTAACATAATCATGTTGTGATCGGAAAATAGAAACAAGATGTCAAGTGCACTTATAACTAACAGAATTATTAAGACATCCAAACATAAGCATGAGTGCCAAGAAACAGATTATAAACAGCATATCATAACAACACTGTGTTACCAGTGCGAGGCTTGGACATTATCAAAGGCTAACCTACATAAATTTAACACCTGTGAAATGAGATGCCTGAGAACTGACTGAGTGTGGGAACAACGCATGCAGTTATTTAATAGAGAAACAGAAGATCAAATGGTTTGGTCATCTAGTGAAAATGCAGCCAGAACAACTACAAATGCAGGCCCTAATGTGAAAAGATCTGACGTGAAAACAAGAGGACACCCTAGGAGAAGATGGATCGATTATATTATAGAGCTTCTACATGGACACAGGATAACAATAGCCATTGTTGCCCATCTAGCAGTGGATCACAAGCTGTTCCTGCCTGTGACGTTTAACGGCAAAAATGGAAATTGATGATGATGATATCCTTGTTTTATATCAGAGTTGCAACATTTGTGCATTTTGGCTGACACATCTAACTTCTGATTATATTTCTTGTCTATGCTGCCCTGCTCATGTTCTTGCTGATGTTTTTGTGTGTGTGTGTGTGTGTGTGTGTGTGTGTGTGTGTGTGTGTGTGTGTGTGTGAGGTTTTCCTGTATTTGATAATCTGTTTGGAGTGAAATAAACTAGTTTGAACATCAACACACACAAATGATATACTGAAACATATGAGTCATTGTTTAAGAGTTTTAAATTATCTGAACTGTTTTATCCATCTTGTCTATTCAGAATCTCCCAGCTTTGATTTTGAAGATTATGAGAGGAACTTTCGCTCCGGTCTCCACCCGCTATAGTCCTCAGTTGCGTGACCTAATCTTGAGCATGCTTCGCTTGGATCCTGCAAAGAGGCCAACCCTCAGTCAGATCATGGCACAGCCATTCTTGATCAATACACTCGTGAGCATAAGCACAGAGTTGGGCAAAGTCAGGTGGGATAAATGTTTTTTTTTTTTTCCTCTTGCGGAAAAAGGGTGGTATGTTCTATTATATTATGGTTGTCCAAATTGATAGTGTGTATTCTTAGTACTATCCTCTTTAGTTACCCCATTGACGTCACGATGATGTCATGTAACAGTCAAATAATTTTAAGGGTGCTAAGATTGGGCTTTTCCGGTAAAGCGTTACCAAGTGTCTTCCAAGGCCTATATATAAAATGGCAAAAAATTTTAAGTGGACGCCGTGGTCTAATGGATAATGCGTCAGTCTCTGGAGGCCCATGAGAATGAAAATTGTTGTGTGTTTTGTTTTTGTTTTTAATTTGAGATTATTACCTCTTGTTACCTTTTTAATTTACAACTATCCTCCTACTCAAAATAAAAAAAAAAACCTTGTCAGCTGCCGGCGATGTTGTTGCATTCTGGCCACCAGATCAGTAGTCTGTCGTCTCTCCGCAATATGATCTCTCTCCAGATCTACTTACGTGTAAAACTGTTGTGATTGTCAATTTGTGCGTCAACCCAGTAGTGTACATCTAGAATGATTGGCATTATTTAGGGCTACCCCCACAAATTGCAAAACATCTTCCTACCCAGGGGAAAAAAAAATTTTTGCTGGCGATATCAGGTGTTCTATATTTCATAATGTGAGTGCTTTTAACCACCCCAAAACATCTACAACTAACCCTAACCCACCTACGTCCCAAGACTGCATGTAGCCTAGATCTTACAACTGTGTGCAACCCAGGTCCCACCACTGCATGCAACCTAGGTCTCACGACTATGCAGCCTATGTCTCACGACTGTATTCAGCCTATGTCTCACAACTGTATGCAACCTAGGTCCCACCACTGCATGCAACCTAGGTCTCATGACTATGCAGCCTATGTCTCACGGCTGTATGCAGCCTAGGTCCCACGAATGTATGCAGCCTATGTCTCACGACTGTATGCAGCCTATGTCTCATGACTGTATGCAGCCTATGTCTCACGACTGTATGCAGCCTATGTCTCACGACTGTATGCAGCCTATGTCTCACAACTGTATGCAGCCTATGTCTCACGACTGTATGCAGCCTATGTCTCACAACTGTATGCAACCTATGTCTCACGGCTGTATGCAACCTATGTCTCACGGCTGTATGCAGCCTAGGTCCCACGAATGTATGCAGCCTAGGTCCTTCTCCCCAGTAAAAAACAAAAAACCCCCACAAAAACTGCATTCTCCCAATTGCACCAACACACAGAAAAATGAACACCAAAAACCAGCTCCTGATTGCACCATCACACAGAAGAATGCACACACAAAAAAACAGCACAGTTGGATATTTTCTCTATGTTATGCCGGTGTTTTGGGAAATGAGCAGGCAGATAGACTAATTAGATTGTGTGCCTTTATGCAGGGTTAAACCTCCTTTGTCAAGTGTGCAGGGCAGAGGCAGAGTATCCGCTCGAGGGGCCACGACCTCTAGAGGTAAGCATATCATTATATTGCATATTTTATTTGTTGTGATTACCATAGCAGATGATAGTAGTCATTTACAGTTGTCCCGTGTGGGTTCAGGAGGCCCCATTTTGTCATTTACAGTTGTCCCTGTTCGGGTTCCAGGGGCCCCATTTTGTCATTTACAGTTGTCTCTGTGTGAGTTCCGGGGGCCCCATTTTGTCATTTACAGTTGTCCCTGTGCGGGTTCCAGGGGCCCTATTTTGTAATTCACAGTTGTCTCCGTGCAGGTTCCGGGGGCCCCATTTTGTCATTTACAGTTGTCTCCGTGTGGGTTCCAGGGGCCCCATTTTGTCATTTGCAGTTGTCCCCGTGTGGGTTTCGGGGGCCCCATTTTGGTAAAAATGTTGTAAACGGTGACTAATTAGGGAGTTTTCCTCCAAAGTCGGAGCACATCTGCTTGAGAGGCCAGGGACCTATAATCTGCATACAAATAAGCTGATCTGTAAATCAGATGTCTACGCAGTATTCAGATTCTGGAACAAGACTCAAGTTCAGATGTTGACAAAGGACCATTAACTTTCCACCAGAGTTTACAGCCAATGATGCTAGGAAGAAGTTTTACAATTCACTTTTTATTTAACCCTGTCACCCCGAGAAAGCCATTTTTTCCAAATTGTACGGGTTTCCGATGAGTCTGTAGGCAGTACTTACTATGCCTATATAACAGCTTTGGTACTGACTCTAACCGCATGATGTGTAGACATGGTTGTCTTGACTATATATGCTCATTCAAACAAATATATTATTAAGGGTATAAAGTGACATCATTATGTCATGATAATCTCATATGACATCATTTGGCTTCCCATGGCTAACTAAACAAAATTAAGTTTATTATAGTCAGAGGGATGGAAAACTGGCAATTACTGCCTTTAGATACCACTTTTGCAGTATCGGCAGGGGGTCCTTGACCCTGATGTTTTAGGCTGCATGGCTAGTGCTGTCGCCTCGGACTGTGTGGGTGAGGATTTTGTTTTTGCCCCAGACACACACAAATCCCTAGCCTTAGCGAGGATTCGAACACGGGTCTTCCGCATGAAAGTCCAGCATTCTAATTGTTTGGCCAGCCGCTCCCCAAGGGATGGAAAGCAGTTAATTAGTTTTACTTTCTTGGTATTTATTCATTAATTCCCTTACAGAAAAGTTTGTTTTGGCACGAAAAAAATATTGACTATTAATTTTTGTAGTGATTTGACAAGACATCGATGTGGCTATCGACTTCACACTTGACTGTCTGCTAAGTGGTCTTGGGGCTCAAGCCACATGTTTATAAAAGATTCAGCATGTGTCCAGCTCGTTCTTTCATTTCTCCTAACTTAGGGTAGAATTTCGTAGAATTATAAAGATGCATCTTTTTTTTTTAATGAAAGGTTGAAGGTCACTTTAAGATTTTCACAGGAGGGAAGGAAGGGGGGGATTTAGGCATAGCTCTGAGGTTCGTATTGAACGTCTCTGGAGACATGGCTATACAGAAGAATAGGTTGTATTTCCTGGAAACAAACACAGTCCAATACAGAGGTTCTGGAAAGAGAATTACTGAAAGAAGTAAAAAAAAGAGACAGTTTAAATACTTTGGCCACATTAAAATATATTACACATTTTTAAAAACAGTTCTGGCGGGAAAGGTCAAAGGCAAGAGAACAAGAGGTAGGCAATGATACAAGTGGGAGGACAACGCCAAGAGATGGACGGGCAGAATCTGAGAGAGTGTACAACCAGGACAAGAGACAGAGCGTGTTGGAGATTCATTGCAGCCAACCTTCATTGTGGAGAAAACATCTGATTGATTGAATGGGAAGGATTTTATATTGACCTGTATGACATCCTGGATGTTACGAGGGCCCTTTGGGAACGAGTGTACTTTAGGCGGCACAAATAGATCATTATGTTCTGAGGAGAAGCGCTGCCGACAGTCACCAGGGAATCTGGCCCATGCTCTACACTCAAGGGAAAATTGAGACGGATGTACAATCAGACGTTACTGGTACCATCAGAATTGGAACTCTTCACTTTGCTGCTGAAGAGGGGGACAGAACACTTATGGGAGTATCCTGAGTGCTGTGATGTTGATTCTTAAATCAGCATTCAACATTTACGAAATCCTATCTACTTTTTAATACCACCATTCAGGTTTTTTTTTTTTCTATTTGCCTTCAGCTATATTCTGGAAGATTACTGTTAACAATGGGGCTATTTCTGAGTCATGGGTTGTATTTGGCAGGTTATACCAGCCTCAGATTGGATAGATCATTCAGCACTTATTATAAATGAGTGATGGGGTCTGTAGAATGCTGACCGCTGTTACTTCCCATAACACCATCTGTTATCCATTTAAGGCTTAGAATTATCCAGGGGATGTAATGAGTCACATATTCCCCATTTAACTTTCCAGCCAGCCTAGAGATTAAAATATCACAGAGGTGCATAATTATGTTTGATGTGTGTGCTTACCTCAACAACAACAAACAGGAGCAAAGAAGAACTCATAATGTTTTACTCAGACTGCAGTTACTGGTGCCATCAGAAATTGAACTCTTTGCTTGCTGCTGAAGATAGGGATGTAGTGATTGTGGGAGTGTCCCTTGTGCTGTGATGTCGATTTTTAATTCAACATTTATCATGGAAACGAAGAGTGTCAGCGCACAAAATGATAGACACTGTTGGAGATTGCAAGATGTGGAGAAGCCAGTCAGTGAAGCACATGATGATGGTCATTATCTTGTCCCCCCTGCGTTTGCCCCTTAAAAAGGGTAGTTGGCACATGTATGTTAGTTTACAGCTGGGCTGTGATATCTGTGCTTTTAGAACCAGTACATTTGATTTCAGCATACTCTTAATTAGCCACCGTTTATGCCATTATGACCTACTTGTAGGGGGCAGTAGATCTGTTCCCCCCTCCCCTCACCTTCCCCACCTCTTATGGGGCCTCAAAACCCACACAGTGATGATGATGATGAGATCTAAATGACATATCATTGTAGGAAATCCCCCGTGTGGGTTTCCAGGCCCATTGTGGGGAAAACAAAAATAGACCCACTGCCTGCCCAAAAGCATGTCATTAGGGTCGACTGATTGGGAGCTTCCTTCAGAATCGGAGTACATCTGCATGAGAGGCAAGGAACCAACAGTCTGCATGCAGAGGAGTTAGACCTGTAAAATGGATGTGCATGCAACACTCAGTTTCTGGAACAGGTCTAGCATCCAGAAGTGAACAAACAACCAGCACTTTCCGCCAGAGTTTACAGATGATGAACGTGAAGAAGAATGTAGGAAATCCCTGTGTGAATTCCAGCCCTAATATGGGGGTAGACAAGAATAGATCCACTGCCTCTCCAACAAGCATGTTGTAGGAGTCAGCTAATTGTGGGCTTCCTTCAGAGTTGGAGTGCATCTGCCCAAGTGGCAAGGAACAACCAACTGCACACAAATAAGCCAGTAAAACGGATGTTGTACACACAAAACTCAGGCCCTGGCACAAAGCCAGAGTCAGATAGATGAACAACCAGGACTATCCGCTGGAGCTTACAGGCCATGAACAAAGAAAAAGATTGTAGGAAAGAAAGCCGAAAAAGCGCATTAATTAACTGCAGTGTCCATTATATATTCTTTTGATTCTGTGTTCTTTATTTTGCAGATAACCGGCCATCAAAGCCACAGACGTTGAGTTGCGTCTATTGTTGGGGTGGTGGTATCAATGAGCCCACAAAACTTCCACTTCCGAACATGGAGCCGCAGGTAGTTCAAGTCTCTAGTGGTAGAACTCAGCGTGCTGCAGTGACCAAACATGGACGGCTTTTTGTCTGGGAGGTTAGAGACTTGATTTTTCAATGCAGTCTTTTTGGAAACTGATTACATGTCTTCTGTGTGTGGCTTTTGGGGCTCATATTATGGGGGAAAACTAGAATAGACCCACTGCCCCCAACAAGCATGTCTTAAGAGTGTATTTGGAGTGCATCTGTCCGAGAAGTGAGGAAACAACAGTCTCTGCATACAGCAAGCTGAATGTGAACACAAAACTCAAGTTTTGGAACAAGACCAAAGTCCTGAAATAGCTGAACAGCCAGAACTTTCCATCACGATTTACAGCTGGTGAAAGCAAAGAAGAAGAAACAAAAAGATTTGATATCTGCTTGTCAGGGATCAAATGGTTAATTTTTAAGTATTTAGTTAAATGTACATATCTGGAATGTCAATGTTTATGAAAACAATAATAAAAGTAGAACATGATAGACATCTATAAGAAAGGGACATAAGCAGTTAGTGCTTTCAGATGTTATGGGAAGGAATTGACTTTAGAACTTGGGGACAACTGGCAAGATTGATGGGAAAAGAGCCAGAAAGCAGAGAGATAAATACCTGGATGGCTTGGCCTTATGCATGGGGCAAAACAAGAGCCCTGACCTGATTTGAGCTTCTGGTGATTGTGTAAAGATACATAACAGCCTACGCTTATTGGCTCATGATGAAAAATATATTCTTTGGTCGTGTGGTGAGAAGCAAGTTATTTGTGAGCTGTGATATCCCGGAAGATCATTGATAGTAGAGGCAGATGCAGACATGGTCGAAGATGATAGCATTTTGAATGTTCATTAATGGAATAGATTAACCTTCTCATCCCAAGAAAGTCGTTACCTCACCCCCCTTCCCCACCTCCCACCTCGAACTTTACTGTCTTACCTTAACATGTGTAGTTTGTGGGTTTGACTGTTTATTGCCCAAAAAATATTTGTACCTTTAATTATTAAATCGAAATAGAAGCTGCACAGCTTTCACACTTAAACAGTGAAAAGAACATTGAATACAATAAGAACTTATTTGTGGCATCATGAATGAAGAATGTAAAACAAATAATATGAGAATCAACACTGAAAAGACAGAAGTAATGTCAATAGGAAAAAAGAAGACAGATCTAAACATAGCAATAGAATACAAAGGCATTAAACAGGCATCTGAGTTTAAATATCTGGGAACTACATTTACCGAAGATGGGAAATTGGATAAAGAAATTGACATTAGATGCAGTAAAGCAAACCAAGTATTGGGACAGCTAGCCCCCCTCTTACAGGATAAGACAATCCCAATCAGCACAAAGAGACATCTTATTCAAAGCATATTTATACCAACTCTGTGCTACCAGTGCCAGACATGGTCACTCACAACAAACCATAAAAGAAAATTAGTAACCACGTAAATGAGATGTCTGAGAAGGGCTGTAGGAGTGACCATAAGAGATAAGATCAGGAATGAGATCATAAGAGAACAAGTCGGCACTGAGTCAATTCTGGATTACATATAAAGACAGCAAGTGAAATGGTTTGCCCACTTAGAGAATGCCTTGTGACACCATACCATACAAAGCATACATGGAAAGAGAAGGACGTAGAGCACGGGGTAGACCAAGAACAAGATGGAAGGATAACATCAGAGAAACTCTACAACAGCACGATGTGCCTATGGCCGAGGCAGCCAGAAGAGCTAGAAACAGAACCTTATATCTCCCTCGACCCCCACAGCGGTAAAAGAGGAAGTGAAGAAGAAGAAGAAGAATTATTGCATTGCTCTTTGTGGCAGCGGAAAGTTAATTCTTTGCTCTGTTTGTATTTATTGATTATTTCCCTTCAGTGGATAATAAACCTTTTCCCAACGCAGACCTTTAGTGTCCATTAACATTGTTCTTAAAAATAATTTGTTTAATGACGTGAGATCAGCAGAGAAGCATAGGCTTGTCTCTCTCTTCTCTGTGGTCTAGTGGTTTGACACCCTGGATATTTATACAAACTGACCAAGACTGCAAATGTTTCTTCTTTTTTTTTTCTTTGGATAGATTTTTGGAGTATTATAAAGGTGATTTAAAAACAAAATGACATTTGAAAGAAAAAAAAAAATTAAGATTCTTACGGGGAATAAGCATTATGAGACGCTTAAGCCAGATTGGCAAGGTAAATAGAGGGATGTTTAAAAAAAAAAGTAATGCCTCTTTTTTTTTTTTTTTTTTTTTTAAATCTTATGTAAATACTGCATTAATGTTAAGTTTGTAAAGTTATCAAGATTCCTCAAACACTTTTCTCTACTGTATAACATTACCAACATGTTTAAATAACAGGTGACACCACTGTTATGGTTTAAAATGGCTTGCAAAGACCTTCGGTTAAAACAGTGTAATGTCAGGTGCCCTAATTCTACCATCAAGACTGAGATTTTTTAAATCTTTGGGTTTTAAACCTTGAAGTAACAGTCCTGAGGGGACAAAGCAATCAATTTATCAATTGAATTATACTTGTTGCATGTTTTCCACGGCTTAAATGAATGGTGTTTGCAATGTATTTGACCTGCTTGTGTTTTTCAGTCTCAGTCACTTGCCGAAAGTCTTTTACCCGGGGCAACCGCGGCTGTCACTCCCAGTTTTGTTCCACGCTACCTTGAAGGCCAGACAGCAGTTACGATACAGCATGTCGCTTGTGGGGATTTGTTCACCGCCTGTCTCACAGGTACTGTGCTGTCTGAGGACAGTAGAATACTCAGTCATTGACATTGGTTGACAGTGTTTACTGTCTGGCTCTTAGGTACTGTCCTGTCAGAGGACTGTAGAACACACAGACATTGGTTGACAAAGAGTTTACTCTCTCTCTCATAAGTACTGGCTGTCATAGGACTGTAAAATACACAGACATTGATATTGATTGACAAAGAGTTTTTACTGTCTGTCTTATAGGTACTGGCTGTCAGAGGACAGTAGAACACACAGACATTGATATTGGTTGACAGAGAGTTTTTACTGTCTGTCTTATAGGTACTGGCTGTCAGAGGACAGTAGAACACAGTCATTGATATTGGTTGACAGAGAGTTTTTACTGTCTGTCTTATAGGTACTGGCTGTCAGAGGACAGTAGAACACACAGACATTGATATTGGTTGACAGAGAGTTTACTGTCTCATAGGTACTGGCTGTCAGAGGACAGTAGAACACACAGACATTGATATTGGTTGACAGAGAGTTTACTGTCTGTCTCATAGGTACTGAGCTGTCAAGAGGACAGTAGAATACACAGGCATTGATATTGGTTGACGGAGAGTTTACTGTCTGTCTCATAAGTACTGTCCTTTCAGAGAAAAGTAGAAGGCATTGGCTGACATAAGAGTTTACCACCTGTCTCACAGGCACCATGCTTCCTGTAGTTCAGTGAGACAGTAGAGCAGTATTTGTGTTGATTAACCTAGTCATTGTTTAGTTTACACAGCTGAGAAGTTTGAGGGGGGGGGGGGGGTGGGGTGGGGAGATGTACACAGTTGTGTTTTCATTTCTTATGAATAAATCTAATAATACACTAGCGTACTTGTCAAGTGAGCACTGAAAATATTTACATCCAACTATCAGAATGAGGTTCTTCTTCTTCACGTTCACCAGCTGTAAACTCCAGTGGAAAGTTCTGGTTGTTCGTCCATTTTTAGACTTTGGTCTCATTGCAGGGGTTGAGTTTTACAGATCCAGCTTATTTGTAATCAGACTTAGTTTTCTCACACGTAGATGCTCTCCGGATTTAAAGGAAACATTACTTAATGGTCACCTTGTATGACATGTCCGGGGGGGGGGGGGGGGGGGGGGTGGGAGGGGGGGGGGTGGGGGGGGGGGGGGGGGGGGGGTGGGGGGGGGGGGGGGGGGGGGGGGGGGGGGGGGGGGGGGGGGGGGAGGGGGGGGGGGGTGGGGGGGGGGGGGGGAGGGGGGGGGGGGGGGGGGGGGGGGCGGGGGGGGGGGGTGGGGGGGGGGGGGGGGGGGGGGGGGGGGGGGGGGGGGGGGGGGGGGGGGGGGGGGGGGGGGGGGGGGGGGGGGGGGGGGGGGGGGGGGGGGGGGGGGGGGGGGGGGGGGGGGGTGGGAGCAGTTTTTTCCTTTCAGAATGGATTCCCTGAACACACGGCATAAATTCATAATTAAATGCATCATTATACTTTCAACATGCCTTTTCTGGGAGGTCACGTTTAATAACTGTAACTGGAATTCCAGTGCACTTTCTTTTCTTTCAGCTTAACTTTTCACCCTCAAAGCTCATTGAATATCATGTAAATTTACAGTTTTTATGCATGAGACATAATTGCACCTGTATTTTTTAGAATTGGGCATATAGGGCTAGACCTATATTTTATAGACCAGTTAGCACTCGGAGGGTGATGTGGTCAAGATCACGTTGGCTGCCTTGACTTCCCAGGACTTTACTTGGTATCCATTTAAGGCTGGGTCAACCTGGGTGCCAATGTCAGTTCTGAAAAATGGCTAAAGATGAGAAAAAAGGTAATGTTGACGAGAAACTGACAACATTCTTACATCGTAGTCTCCACAGTTGTTTGCCAAAGGGGCCTTAGTAAGTATTTTTCCTCTCTTGTGGAAACAATACTATGACAGTATTTTAATGAACAAATGTAATGTTTGACAATTTCAGACCGTGGGATTTTGATGACATTTGGGAGTGGACTTCATGGTTGTCTAGGACATGGAAACTACAAAGATGTATCACAGGTATGTGGTCACATTTAGCTGTTTTAATTTTCATCATGAGTCCTCATCATCACCATCATCATCATCATCATGTAGCAGGTCCTTTGTAGAATGTCGCTCTCATCAGTCAGCCTGAAAAAAAACTTGGTCTCTCGCCAGCTCTCCCGCCTCATGTACTTTCATACTTATATCCTGTGCCCATCTTCGTGTTGGTCGGCCCCTGCCCCTCCTTCCTGGTATCATGCCCTCTGCTATTATTTTTTTTCCGATCCGTCGTGGCGCTTGATATGACCAAAATATTTCAGCTTCCGAGACAGGATGCTGTTTATTAGCCAATCTTCCTTGATGTTCAGAGCTTTCAAGATGCCAATATTTCTCCTCTTCTTTGTCCAAGATATTCTGAGAATCTGTGTATAGCATTTCAGCTCAAAAGCGCTTATTCTCTTTTTTAAGGACTGGGATATAGTCCACGACTCACACCTGTTTGTTGCTACAGGTAAGATGCATGCTCTCAAAATTTTTAAATAAACAATACATCATTTTGAAACGATTGTTATGAAAACAGTACTGGTAGTTGTCACCATTGTTATCCACCACGAAATTACAAGGTCATTTTGTGCCATAAAGTGCATTGCCCAACCATAAATAGCTTCAAATTTACTGTGAGGAATTTCCATGATGTCTGATAATTGAAACACTTCAAGCTGTAAGACGCAGAAAACCCATCTGCCCATATTTTCTTGACATATTCCAGCAGATTGATTTCTTCTTCTGGGTATTTACCTCCTTGCCGTGAAAATATTCTTGATCTTGGAAGGTTTTTCTTTTTCTTTTATTCCAATCCATCTTCACATATTTTCTCATCAACAATGAACTTCCTGCCAGATGCTCGGGTTCCATTTTCTTGCACTACTTGCAACTTACATTTACAACTGTACCTTGCTCTTACACGGCTTTCTTTCACTTATAACAGGTACTACCGTTTCAGTTTTAGTCTCTAGAAATTAAACCCCCCCCCCCCCCCCCCCCCCCCCCACCAAGACTGTCTCAGGAACGAGATGTGGCTTTTACATGCATACATATGGTATATCTAATTGGCGTATGGGGCTGATATGTTACAAACATGGTTCATAATTCTGAAATTGCAGCTGCAGGTGATTTGGCTTTGCATGATTTTGACAGTGCTCAGGTGCAACGGCCAATAAGAAAGCAATGACAAACAATTGATGATACATTTGTCTAGTAAAACCACACACATCTAACAAATACTGGGGCTAGTTGACAGTGAACTGTAAAAGATAAACAACTAACTTTGTAAATATATAACAGTCCCCTGGGAGACTTCTTCTAGTCTTGTGTCCTGCAGCTGAATATATCAGTGTGTGTGCTGTTTTTCCTTGCCAATGTGAAATACTGTAACATGTCTTCTTTTGGTGTACTCTTCTAGCAATTTTTTTTTTTTAATCCAGAGTTTGTAGCAGCCCTTAAAAACTTGAATAATCCTTGAATGGCAGATGTCCGCTTGAACACCTGAATTTGCTCTTGAACAGAACAGTTGCCCTTGAAGTGTGCCTGCTGTAGTGGGAGGATCGGAAATAAAAAAAAACTCTTTGAAAGATGTGTGATTTTTGGCAGTTAGGCTATTTTTGGCTTTTTGGCTATTTTCAACTACCTTTGTTCTAAATGTGACAGTTCTTTCTGGTCAGCAGGCAATCAATCGTCTGTTCATTGTTGGGTTGGAAGGTGCAGTGTGAAGTTTAAATAAGTATAGTAACAGCCTACATTTACATCATGCCTGTATGCCGTTTTCAGCTGAAATAAGTGAAGGCTAAGGGAAGGGCAGATGAATGTGGACAGCCACGATTAGTGTGGGAGGGAGCGGTTGTCTCACGTGGAATTGTTTCTGGAAACCAGGATAACTTAACATTGAGATACGGTAGAGGTTGGATAAGTGAAATCATCTAGATCTGTCAGTTCGTTTTTGGCACAGCTTATCTTGACAATATATTTGGTATCAACATTCAACCCTCCCCCATATCTTTCCTCTTCTCTTCTCTCACCTCTGACCCTCTCTTTATCTCTTCTACCTCTTCTTTATCTCTTCTTCCTGTCTCCTTTCTATCCTCTTCTTCTCACTATCTTTCCTTACATTCTCCCCTTTTCTTCCTTTCTATGTTTTTCTATATTCCACCATTCCACCTCCTTTTTTGTTTCATGTACTAAATTTGCTGCCCATAACTTATCTTTTCCTAGTGGTTGTGTCCAGTATCAATCACCTTCCCGTTGGAAATAAGAATCAAGAATCTTGATATGTCTATCCTTCAAGAATTAGATAGAATTCCAAAGAATAGCATGTTCATACACATTTCATTTTATGATCACATAATGATATCAGTTATCTAACTGACAAAAGCAGTGATACCTGTAGGGGTCAGATGAAGATATGCCTGTTTAATAATTATTAAACCAACATCCTGGTTAATTAATTTCAGGCTTATGCTGATGTAAGTAACTTGAAGCTACCATTAAGTTTTCATACTTAATATTGTTTTCAGATGCTAATATTTACATTGTTAATTCTTTACATACCCAAATATCATTTTACACTGTGAATACTTGGACAGGTAACATTTATTAACTGAGTTTTTCTATACTTATACTTTTAATACTGTAATAATGTTGAACATGATTTGTTTAATATCAACTTAATGACCATGGTTAAACTCATATTCTGTCATATGTGTTACCTCATGTAATATGATTCTTAATTTTAAATATTTGCTCAAATAGCATTTAACATATTTTGGATAAAACTAGTTAATACTAACTAATCTTCTTCTGCTTCAGAATTCTCAGCCCTTGAAGTTCATTGCTGCGGAAATCACCCGCCTCTGTTCATCTCTGTGAATAATTCTCTCTTTCCGGTTGGTGTCTCCAAGTGTTTTCTGGCCTGCGAACCGCCTCTTATTCTACGACCATTCAACTCACTTGTGTACAGTTTTTACCACTCTGGCGTCTGACATTCTTTCAGTATACCCCAGCCTTTTCAATCTATCAGTCTATTATTTCTCTCACAGCGCCAGTGATCAGTGTTGATTTAAACAGATTATTAATTTCTTTGTTGCTTCTCACACTCTATTCCCCGCTTTTTGTATCTTTGATGGGTCTGAAGATTCACAAGACATTTTTCAATATTAAGCCTTCATCTCTTTTGGTTGTGTTCCAAATTAACTAATCACCTAACAGAAAAATCAACCAAATGAGGTAAAGCAACACAAGGAATAAATTGGAAATAAAAATGTAATCATTGTATTAAAAAGCTGCATCTACGATTAAATGAAATTCCTTGCAGAGTGGCAAGCATTGCTTCAAAGGTCTGGCGTGGTTAGTGTCCTTTGGATGTTTTTTCCAGGTCATACCGGTGTGTTAGGAAAAAAATTGGTAAATAGAGTAGCTGGTTCTGCACCACTTGGTGATGAATTGATGCATGACAAGCTGGAGGTGTGAAGGTCCTTTGGCTGTGAGTGAACAGTGTGAAGGCACTGAGGAAAATAAGGAGGATAGTGCTGTGAGGAATGACCTGGGGGTCTGGTTAATGCTCTTTTTTTTTTTTGGTTCACTGGCTGTAAGCTGTAAGTCAGAAAGTCCTGGTTGTTCATCCATTTGGACTTAGGCTTTGTGCCAGGGCCTGAGTTTTGCGTATGCATTTGTTTCACTGACTTATTTGTAGACAGTTTGTTGTTCCTTGCCACTCGGGCAGATGCACTCTTGACTTCGAAGGAAGTCCCCAGTTTGTAGACTCCGATGACATGTTTGTTAAGGAGGAGTAGACTCCGATGACATGCTTGTTAAGGGGGAGTAGACTCCGATGACATGCTTGTTAAGGGGGAGTAGACTCCGATGACATGCTTGTTAAGGGGGAGTAGACTCCGATGACATGCTTGTTAAGGAGGAGTAGACTCCGACGACATGCTTGTTAAGGGGGAGTAGACTCCGATGACATGCTTGTTAAGGAGGAGTAGACTCCGACGACATGCTTGTTAAGGGGGAGTAGACTCCGATGACATGCTTGTTAAGGGGGAGTAGACTCCGATGACATGCTTGTTAAGGGGGAGTAGACTCCGATGACATGCTTGTTAAGGAGGAGTAGACTCCGACGACATGCTTGTTAAGGGGGAGTAGACTCCGATGACATGCTTGTTAAGGAGGAGTAGACTCCGACGACATGCTTGTTTAAGGGGGAGTAGACTCCGATGACATGCTTGTTAAGGGGGAGTAGACTCCGATGACATGCTTGTTAAGGGGGAGTAGACTCCGATGACATGCTTGTTAAGAAGGAGTAGACTCCGATGACATGCTTGTTAAGGGGGAGTAGACTCCGATGACATGCATGTTAAGGAGGAGTAGACTCCGATGACATGCTTGTTAAGGGGGAGTAGACTCCGATGACATGCTTGTTAAGGGGGAGTAGACTCCGATGACATGCTTGTTAAGGAGGAGTAGACTCCGATGACATGCTTGTTAAGGAGGAGTAGACTCCGATGACATGCTTGTTAAGGGGGAGTAGACTCCGATGACATGCTTGTTAAGGGGGAGTAGACTCCGATGACATGCTTGTTAAGGGGGAGTAGATGACATGCTTGTTAAGGGGGAGTAGACTCCGATGACATGCTTGTTAAGGGGGAGTAGACTCCGATGACATGCTTGTTAAGGGGGAGTAGACTCCGATGACATGCTTGTTAAGGGGGAGTAGACTCCGACGACATACTTATTAAGGAGTAGAAGACTCCTACGACATGCTTGTTAAGGGGGAGTAGACTCGGATGACATACTTGTTAAGGGGGAGTAGACTCCGACGACATGTTTGTTAAGGGGGAGTAGACTACGACGACATACTTGTTAAGGGGGAGTAGACTCCGACGACATGCTTGTTAAGGGGGAGTAGACTCCGACGACATGCTTATTAAGGAGGAGTAGACTCCGACGACATGTTTGTTAAGGGGGAGTAGACTCCGACGACATGCTTGTTAAGGAGGAGTAGACTCCGACGACATGTTTGTTAAGGGGGAGTAGACTCCGACGACATACTTATTAGGGAGGAGTAGACTCCGACGACATGTTTGTTAAGGAGGAGTAGACTCCGACGACATGCTTGTTAAGGGGGAGTAGACTCCGACGACATACTTGTTAAGGAGGAGTAGACTCCGACGACATACTTGTTAAGGAGGAGTAGACTCCTACGACATGCTTGTTAAGGAGGAGTAGACTCCGACGACATGTTTGTTAAGGAGGAGTAGACTCCGACGACATGCTTGTTAAGGAGGAGTAGACTCCGACGACATACTTGTTAAGGAGGTAGTGGAACTATTGCTGTTTTCCCCACAACAGGGCCCAGGAACCCACACATGACAGTCGATGCTCAACACTCAAGGAAAAGGCGAGACTGTTACAATTGCCATCAAAATAGGAACTCTGTGCTTGCTGCTGAAAATGGGGATGGGGCGCCTATTGGAATGTCGCGAATGCTGTAATGTTGATTCTCAATTCAGCATTCAACAAATGAAATTTGACAAAAATCATTTATCAACATAATAAAGTAGATGCCTGAAATAGAAGAATGGCAAAGAAGAAATTAGTAAAAGATAAGATCCTTTTCACGCATTTAGGCACATCGGGCATATGGGAAGAACCCATATTTTTACCTACCAATCAGTACTAAGTGATAATGTGGTCAGCATTACGCCAGCCGTTTTTACTTCCTCAGGATATCCATCCTGGTACCCATTTTAGGCTGGGTCGATCTGTGACACCCCATACCGTGATAAAAAAGCACGCAACCAGCGGTGGATTTCAATCACGGTATGTTGGAACTGCGAGTCGGACTCGATAAGCCATAGATGCCACAGAGAAGTTGAGAAATGTATTTTTAAAACAACCTACCATTACTACCTGTAAATATGATGTTTGCCCTGTGGGCATGGAGGTCTTTGGGCCTGATAGTTTATGGCCGCATGGCTAGTGTTCTGGCCACGTACTGCAGGTTAAGATTTTATTTTTGCCCCCCGCAGAAAAACATCCAAAATTTTACAGGGCACTCGAACCTGTTTCTTCAGCATGAGAACCCTGCGTTTTTAATGATTTTGCCCGCTGCTCCTCAAGGCATGTATATCGTACACAAAGTAATCAGTAAAAGCCTAATGAGTTCACTGGAGCTGAAAAGTTCCGCTTGTTTAGTCATTCTTTTTTTGAGCACTTAAATATTACTTGTTGCTAGAGGTGGAACCATTTCTGCAATGATGTAACATGTATTTTCATGTGAACAGGCTAAGATTGTGGAGGCACTGCTCGGCTATGAAGTGGTGCAGGTATCCTGTGGATCAGCTCATATTTTAGCTGTAACCAATGACCATGAGGTATTTTCTTGGGGGAGAGGAGACGGTGGTGAGTTTTCATCTTTTTCTGTGGTAATTTTTTTGAAATTTTTGTGGTAAGTTTTCAGCTTTTTTTTTTTGTGGAAAGCTTTTTGACTTTTTAAAAGTTGCAGCCAAGGAATCTTTTTATTTATTCTGAGCAACTGAGGTTCATTGTTGCAGACATCACTCCCCTCCATTCATCTTCTCTGATTGGCCTTCTCTTTCCAATTGATGAATCCTGTTGTTTGTAGGTTTACATATTATCTCTGTATACCTTCTTGGTATACACATGTCAGTCTCATCATCATGTAGCAAGTCCTTTGCAGAACGTCGCTCTCATCACGGTCTGCCTGAAAGAAACTCGGTCTCTCGCCGGCTCTCCCGCCTCATGTACTTTCATACTCAAGGAGTCACTTATATCCTGTGCCCATCTTCGTGTTAGTCGGCCCCTGCCCCTCCTTCCTGGTGCCATGCCTTCTGCTATTATTTGTTCCAATCCGTTGTGGTGCTTGATAAAATGTCAGACTACAAGTGTCTTATAAAGACAAACATATTAAAGACGTAGGCTGGGAAAAAGCGGAGCTCACACAAGAGTTAAAAAAAAAAAAGGTAGTTTAGGTAGTAATTTTGATCGCCACGGAAACACAAAGGACATGACTGGCAAAGCAGCAGCAGCTTTTAAAAGTCTCAATAAAATATGGAACTCTAAATTTTCTAGTTTGAAAAATCAAATTCTATCATTTGACTCTTTGAGTCCCAGGGGGTTTAGCATCACAGGCCCAGGGGGTAGTAAAGAAAGTAATAAAATCGGCGCATCATGCGTTCAGTGGGCTTCTAGGTAAGAACCTATGAACGTATGATGTGTTCCTTGGGACTCAAAAAGAGTTAAATACTAATGGAACTAATGCATTGAGGAAACAAGGATGTCTAAGAGAAACATTAAGATCAATGTTAATGAGAGAGGTCAAAGGTATTGAGCTGGATTCCATTCATTATTGAAAGGATTGCACAGGATAGAGCAGAAGGGAGGAGTAGACTGCTAGCCGTGTGTGACATATAAATGGCACAACAGGACCACAGTGATGCGTGTCACTAATGATGTATTCATGAAAGGCTATTTCAAGGTGTGGACACCGCCTGAGATGTGTTAAAAGTGTTGGTCCTCATGTACCATATGCTATTGGCTGACTAATTATCTAACATGGATTCCTCACCAGTTTTCCAATAGAAGGAAACTTGTGTATGCACATGCATGCATGCATACGAAGATACTTACAAGGATACTTAAATACATGAAAACATGTTCCTCCATTAGGACGGTTGGGATTGGGAAATTGTGAGCCCACCACCTCCCCACAGCCAGTGGTTGTTCCAGAAGGTTCCCGTCCGTGTGCTGTGCATTGTGGGATAGACTGCTCTGTCATTCTTACATTGGAAGGTTTTCTGTTGTGTACTGGAAGTAACAGGTTAGTGTTAGATGTTGCATGTTTCTGTGTTGTGACAACTGGACAATTTGATGGAAGCTGAGGTAGAAGAGAAAAAGGAGGGAGGATTATTGAAAATATTGCCTTATGGCATGGAAAAGTGCAAACACATGAACATCTTCGTCTTCTTTGTACTCGCCCGCTGTAAACTCTGGCTAACAATTCTGGTTATTCGTCTACTTCTGGACTCTAGTCCTGTTCTAGAACCTGAGTATTACATGCACATCTGTTATACAGATCTGACTCATTTGTAGGCAGACTGTTGGTTCGCCTTTTCTCAGGCAGATGCACTTCAGCTTTAAAGGAGGCCTCCAGTTAGTTGACTCTTATGATGTGCTTTTGAGTTAGGCAGTGGGTCTGTTCTCATTTTCCCCACAATGGGGGTCCAGAACCCACATGGGGAAGCATATGAACTGATCCATGCTGTTGGAGATGACAAACTGTGAAGTACGATCGCTTATGCCAGTCTGCAAGGCACTTGTTGATGATGAAAGATCAGAAGTTTGCCAAAATATGTAACAACATTCACTGGCATTATTTTGGGACAAATACAGAAGAATAAGGATCTAGGCACATTAATAACATCAGATGGAAGATGTATCAGGGAGATTAGCAGCAGAATAGAACAAACAAAAATTGTATTTTATCAAATGTTATGCTGTAAATGTATCATTGGAGGTTAGAAAAATGAATTCCCCCCATGCTATATAAAGCCAATTTTGAATGAAACCTCTTTTTGAATTTTTTTGCGTTCACAAGCTGTAATCTTCAGCAGAAAGTTCTGGTTGTTTGTCCATTTCTCATGGGTTTGGTCTTGTCCCAGAACTTGAGTTTTATGTGCACATTCATTTTAGAGATCTGGCTTATTTGTGTGCAGACTGTTGGTTCTTTGCCTCTCAGGTAGATGCACAGACTTTGAAGGACAGACCCCTTAATTGGTCGCCTCCAGTGACATGCTTGGGGCGAGGGGGGGGGGGGATTAGACCCAAATGAGGCCCTATGAACTCACACTGTGAAACATGTGACTGTGAATCCCAGACAATTAATAAGCAAGCCAAACAATTTCTTGAGGCCTTGAAAATGTGTTTTTATGGAAAATCCTTTGAATTCCTTGGCACAGCAGCCCTGGATGTTTTGAAAGAGGTGAGGGCTCGAAGACAACTTATCGCAAACAGAAGATGTAGTCAGTCATAATCTTTTCGTCATGTTATGAGAAGAAAGGAACTGAATACGCATTGGGATCAGTTTGTATAATTAGCCAGGGCTACCTATCTGATTTACTTCTCTAGGGAATAAAAGCAGAAGAAAAAGAAGACTTATCTTCTTCTTCTTCTTCTTTTTTGTTCGTCCGAGTGATGTAATCGCTTCATGCCTCTTTACAGCATAACTTAATTTGCTCCGACATCATAGGGTATTTGTCTACCAGGTTAGACTTCTAGGAGAAGATCTAATTAACTGCAGGGGAATAAAGGGCAGAAGAATGAGTAGGAGACTATATGATAACAATCCCTAGGGGATAAAAGCAGAAGAAGAATGAGTAGGAGACTTATCTGATCAACATACCTAAGAGATAAAATCACCTTTACCTCCCAGAACTACACCTGTTACCCACTCAAGGCTGGATTGACCAGGGATTCAAGGTCATTGTTTAAAAGTCCGGCTCCATCAGGACGCAAACCCCCGACCTTCCAATCCACAGGTGGGCGTCTAGCTGCCAACGCCACGGCGACTCTCAGAATGAGTAGGAGACTTATCTAATTAACTCCTAGGGAGAATACAAATCAGAAAAAGAATGAGTAGGAGCCTATCTGATTAACTTCCCTAGGGGATAAAAGCAGAACACTAATTAACTCCGATAGATAAAAAGGCAGAGGAAAAAAATCTAATTAACTACCTGGGAAATAAAGGGCACAGAAAAGAAGACTAATAAAATCTGCTGGAGATAACGGACAAAAAAAAAGAACAGTTTCTTTGTTATGTGAGATGTCTGTTACATTTTGCTTGATAGGTTCAACAAGCTTGGACTTGACCAGATTACTGCTGAAGGAGACACAACTCGCGTAATTGATGAGGTGAAGGTCTTTACGCAAGTGGCGTCTGCACCGATCAATAGTGTTCACACTAAAATGGTTGCCCTAGGAACTTCACATTCAGCCATAGTTACAGGTACATTTCAGCTCTGTCTGTGGTTTCTGATTTTTTAAATAATTGTATGTTCTCATCTTTCCAGAAGATAGTTTAGTTTTCTTATATAAGAACCTTCTGTCCACAGCACAAAGCCTCGTTATATTGTCAAGAACATGTTGCCCACCCAGCATCATAATCCTTCACTCAGCCTGCCTTGTTTGCTCTAAAGGAAGGGTAACACCAATGCTTTTGGAATAGGTAATTGCCAGATCAGAACAGCAGTGCTCCGTCTTGTCTGTTGGATCTTTATTTCTAGACAAGCTGCCAACCAAGGCTAAGTATCTGGTCTGCCTTGCCATAACATTACACTTTCAAGTTGTCTTTCCTCTTCCTTGGATAAAGGTATTATTCTCTGCAGTTCGCTTCTATGCCAGAGGTGACTGGCACACCGTGGGATATCTACTTTGCTACAAACTTCCCATGATTGTCCGCCCCCTTCTGGTACCAGCTACTGTTGTATGGTAGCTCAGTCATATTTGACCAAGACCTGACCAAACAAACAAACAAAAAAGTCAAGGGAAATTGTAAAAAATCTCTTTAGTAATTTCTCACAGTATTGCCTCATCAGGTATGTGGTGCTGGATACATTTTTAGACCAATCAGCTCTCGTTGAGTGGCGTTTGTCAACATCACACCGGCCACCTCTCTTCTTCTTGTAAGTGCATGCCCTGTGGTGTTAGTATTATGTCTGTCCACGAACTTCTGTCTTGTCTTCTTTCAGCTAACTCTGACACAGATGGTTCGCCATGCCATAATGTCAAAATGTCCATCATCTTCTCTCTTTGTCTCCCTCTGCCTCTTTCCCTTCGACTTTCCTGCTGTCAGGATGTACTCCAGTTTTCTCCTTCTTCTCATGTCATGACCAATGAATGTAGATTGTCTCTTTCTGATGTGGGCAATCAGTTCTCTATGAGTTTAGTTTCTTTCAAGACATCTTCATTACTCTTTTTATCTGTCTAGGGTATTCTCATCATTCATCTATAAAACCACTTATCCGCAGCTTCCCAGTAATTTTTTGCTAATCGACTAACTGTCCATGAGTCACTTCTGTAGGTCAGGATAGGATTTATATAGCTCAATTGACAAAGAAAGATTGCCAAGAATATGATTCATTTTGCCACCTTTACTCAGCTGTAGATTTCCTGGTACCCCTTTTTAGACTGGGTCAGCCTGGGAGCTCATATCATTTAAAACCAAAAAAAAGTTTTTAAAATGGCTCTGATGGAGATTGCACCAAAAGATCTTCGACTCAACAGGCAGGGTCTCTTACTGACAAAAACAATGAAATTTGAACAAATAGGATATAAATAGTCACTACTCCTGAGAGAAGAGGCAGGGTTTATCTAGCATGGTGGTGGATGTAGCATTAAAGAATACCTTGACATGAAAAATGCATAGGACTGAGAAACTCTTCAAGTGTCAAGAATATCTTCTTCTTTCATTCACTTGAAATAAATTATATCTGCAATGTCGTCTCTAGTATAAACTTAACCGTCTTTTGTAATGGGGGGGGGGGGGCTGCATGGTCTCGAGGCGTGCTAGGTTCTGTGTTCAAAGTTCTTGGATTTTTTTTCATGTGGACTTGGACTGCTAGTGATTCCCCCTGTGAGATCGAACGCCCACGTGCATTGGTGCGCACTTAAAAATACCTTGGCAGTTGGAAATTGAAAAGGAGTAGCCTAATGGCGCTGCCCGGGCAAAATTTAGAGTTCAAGATCTACCAAAAGATTTCAGGACCCTCGCTGGTGCTACAGAGCATGTGCACTGTGCTGAGCTTCTTCGGACTCAGACTTGAGTAAGAAGAACAGAGCACTAATGGGTTACTACCCGTGTGCCATGATGTTGATCTGTTGCTCAAACCTCAAACCTTATAATGCACTCAGCAACCTGTAAAGGTTGGCTTCCACTGGTGTTTCTCTTGGCCACAAGTTTTGCCTTGGTTTGTTGTGTTTGGGGCAGTCTAGGACAACGAAATTTGTTGTCGCAGGCGCCATTACACATGTGCACATGGCTAATTCGCCAATCTTAAATTTAGTGTATCAAGAATATGTTTAGTGGATTATGATGAAAGCACTTTGTTTTTAAAACAAAGAACATTACATGATAATGGGTAGTCATAATCAAGCCATATTTTATGTAACACATCATCAGGTGCCTTGCCAACTGGCGTGGACAATCATGCCTCTCCACAATCTGATCTCCTGCAGCATTTATTAGTTTGTGTGCTGACACACCTCAATGGCATGCAACAAGACTGTCAAGCATCTTCTCTCATTTTCTTCCTCTATCCCTCTTTCCACAGATCTTTCCAGTGGTCACAACATGTTCTATTTTCCCTCTTCTTATAACATGGCCTAAAATTGATGCCTGTCTCCTTCTGATGTCTGTGATAAGTTGTCTTCGGGCACCCGTCTCTTTCAAAACCTCTTGGTTGCTCTTTTTGGCTGTCCATGGTATTTTAAGCATTCTTCTGGAACACCACATCTCTGAGGCCTCAAGAAATTGTTTGGCCTGCCTACCGATTGTCCAGGATTCACAGCCATATGTTAAAACTGGATGTATGTAGCAAGCAAGAATTCTTTTTCTAACACTCAATGACAAAGATATATTGCATAAGATGTTCTTATGTAACACAATATCATGTATAATCGAAAAGTTAGTTGCGTAGGACGTTGCAGAACCAACCCTAACAGCCCCTGGCTGTTGTGTGGTTTCTCTAGGCAATTTACATCCAGTAGTTTGCCATTGCTTTCTGGACGGTCGGCTTTCTTGATACCACTGTCGAAACCAACGCAAGGCGCATTGCCCGCAGCAGGGATCGAACCTGGCATCCCGGCATTACGAAGCGAAGCGTTCGCATCGACTTAGCCACAGAGCCAACATAATCGAAAAGAGACGTGAATATTGTTACACTGTAACTTGGTTCCTTATTATCCCAGTTCTGAACAACTGTCTAATAAAGCACACTTATAGGTCCTTTGCAGAATTTCACTCTCATCACAGCCTGATGGAAGGCCACTTTCCCACCCATTGCACTTTCATACCCATGCCGTCTTTCTTCTTTTTCTTAGTTTACTGGCTATAAGCTCCAGCGGAAAGCCCTGGTTGTTCATCCATTTGGCTTTGTGCCAGGGCCTGAGTTTTGCATGTACATACATTTTACTGGCTTATTTGTATACAGTTGGTTGTTCCTAGCAAGTATCCCACAGATCATTACCAGTTGTATTGTATTAGTGATCTTTCTTTCCTGGATCTACGACCTCTGGCCTGTGATCATCCCCATTTTGTTTGACCCCTGAGTAAACTTGATTGAATATTCCTGCTATAGCTCATTTAGTCCCAAGCAATTGACCATGCATTTGTTGAGCTATGGTTCATTATATATACTATTCTTGGCATACTGTTTAAATTATGGAGTGGGACAGACAGAACTACACAAATTAGATTTCTGAGAGCATGCGTCTTTCCCATTGCAACATACGCCTGTGAGATTGGACATTTACTAAAGTTAAACAGTGCATAAATGCCTTTGAATACAAATGTTATTGATGGGTTCTAAGAATATTGTGTGTAAAGAGAGAACAAATGCAGCCATACTTCAAGAACTGAATATTGAAGATTGGCTATTAAAGACGATAAAACACAGAAAATTGAAATATTTTCATCACTTGAAACGTCATGAAAGTTTACAGAGAACAATAATGGAGGGGTACATGCCTGGGAAGAGAGGAAGAAGAAGGCTACAGAGAAGATGGGCGCATGATGTGGCGGATGATCTCCAGATGGGTGTATCGGACGTGGGACATCTTGCTTGGGATCGAGAAGTGTTATGGGAGCAAGGTTCTGCAAAGGACATGCTACCGACTGATTGACTGAGCGTACTTTTTCCCAGCCAGTAAACTTACTCTACCTTAGCTGCTGCTTTATGTCCTTCTTTCTCCTGTAGTTATTATTTTGTCTGCCTCAGAATCATACATACTAAAATCTTAGTATATAATGCGATTAAGAAGCATTCAAATTGGGACTCAAAGAGTTAGACTGTGTCCTCAACCCTTAAGCAACCTTTTTAGTTGCCATGGTTAGTATCTTACTCTTTGATACCCTTGCTAACAGCAAAGGGCATCTAAGGATGTTCACCTTTTCCAGTTAATACTCAGTCCCCACAGCTGCATAAGCCACACTAGTGGTGTTCCTATCCTCCGCCATAAGGGAAGCTGCCATGAAGGGAGCTGTGGTAGCATGCTAGATACTTGCTTTCTGGCCCGAAGGTCGTTCAGTGTAGAGTTGAATTAATTTTAAACTTGACCTTGGCTGCCAGGTTGCTCCAGCCTAAAATGGTACCAGGTTATGTCATGGGAAGCCTAAAAAATTGAGTCTAGCATCATATGCCCTGTGCACCATTGGTGTTAAAAAAGGTCTTTTACTTGCTTATTTCCTTATTATGATTAAGGTGCAGTTAGGATTTTCCCCGTCTCCTATAGAGTCAAGCACATGCAGAATAATTAATTTTCAGGTCATTGAATTTGATGCAGTGTGCTTATGTAACACAGCATAGGGGTGACCCATTTGCTGTGATGCTGAAGCTGAGATTGTCAGATTTGGAATTTGCGAATTGTATTTAATATTTATTGATATTATTCTTTCATCTCTCAAGAACACAGTAATTTCTTGGAATAACAGTTTTGTTGTAAATCTTATGCTTCCGTAGTGACTGCATTAATCTTAGACTTCCATGGCGATCGTATGGTTAAACTGATAATTTCTGTTGGTGGGGGTATGCAGTGTGACAAAAGACAATGTGATTTGTGTATGTCAGCAAGAAGAATTCATTTTTTGTGTAAATGCTGTTGTCAGGTTTGTAGTCATCTTCTTAACGTTCACCGGCTTTAACCTCTGGCAGAAAGTTCTGGTTGTTTGTTCATTTCTGAACTTTAGTCTTGTTCCAGAACCTGAATTTCGCATGCACCTCCATTTTACAGATCAGGCTTGTTTATATACAGACTGTTGGTTTCTCACATATCAGGCAGATGCTCCCCGACAGAAGAAAACACCCCTAACTAGTCAACGTTTCAACATGCTTATAAGGGAGCAGTATATTTGTTACCACCACCCCTCCCCCCAAACGGGACCTGGAACCCACACAGAATAAACTCTATAGTAATGCACCTGACAAACTAATAAATTCTGCAGATGAATTTAACAGCAAAACATCTAGGAGGAAGGCAAGGCTAAGACCCCCGTGTGTGTTCCGGGGCCCCATTGTGGGGAAAACAAGAATAGACCCACTGCCTCCCCAAAAGCATGTCGTAAGAGTCGACTAATTGGGAAGCTTCCTTTGAAGTCGGAGTGCATCTGCCGGAGAGGCAAGGAACCAACAGTCTGTATTCAAGAGAATGAGATCTGTAAAACTGATGCACACGAAACACTCAGGTTCTGGAGCAGGACTGCAGTTCAGTAGTGGACGAGCAACCAGAACCTTCCGCCAGAGTTTACAGCTGGTGAACGTGAAGAAGAAGAAGAAGAAGCAAGGCTAAGACCAGAAAAAAAGTTAGTAAATGATGTAGCTGAAACCTGCAAAAAAAGATGAATAAATCCATCATCCAAGACACCCGAGAAGCGCAAGACAAATAATAAAATCCATGACACTGGGCTACAACCTGATGTCAGTCAGAATACTATAAGAGAAGAAGCAGAAGACAAAATATGCAATATGTTGTTTGTGTTTGTTTATTGGACATTATCTACATTATATTTCTGTTGTGCAGAAAAAGGAGAGTGCTACACTTTTGGATCAAACCAGTTTGGGCAACTTGGAGGAGTTGAAAGTGAACTTGTACCGCGTCATCCTGCCCAGGTTGCCTTGTTACAGAGCAAAGTCATTACCATGTTGTCCTGTGGGGATACATTTACTGTGGCTGTCTCAAAAGGTATATTGAACTCATACATATTTACGGTGCCCAATTTAGAGGGCAAATTAAATTCATACATTTACTGTGGCTGTCTCAAAGGGTATATTGAACTCATACATATTTAAAGTGCCCGTTTTAGAGGGTAAATAAGATCAATACATTTACCATGGCTGTTTCAGAAGGGACATTAACACTTTCAGTCCCTGGGGGTTTAACATCGGAAGCTCAAAGGGTAGTAAAGAGAGGCATAAAATTGGCAGATCTTTCGTTCACTGGGCTTCTAGATAGTAACCCATGAATGTCTGATGCATTTTTTGACACTGAAAGAGTTAAATTTATACATTTACTGGAACTGTCTCAAAAGGTAAATCCAATTCATACTTTCACTGTCGCTATAGCTCTAGCTGACTGAAGATAATTCCAATTCATATTTTCTTTGTGGTTGTCTCAAAAGATAAATCCAATTCACACTTTCACTGTAGCTGTCTCTGAAAGTAATTCCAGTTCATACTTTCACTACACTTGTCTCAGAAGATGAATCTCATCAATACTTTCACAGCACTTGTTTCAGAAGGTAAATTGGCAAGTTAATCCAGTTAACAAATGCTGGATGAAGTCAGGTATGTTGGCCGAAGGGTGGAAATATCACAGCTTTGCTGTAAACAGGCACAATACAATTATGTTGCTCGCAAAGAAGAAGAAGACCACATCAAATTTTAACTTAGCATTGCCATTGTCTAAAAAAAAATGTTAACCTGTGGTGTCTGATCAAATTTTGATGCTCATAATTGTCCCCCTTGTTTCAACAGATAATGAAGTATTCACCTGGGGCAAGACATCTCGGGGTCGCCTCGGACGTTCTCCTGAATCTAGTCACTTGCCAAACATTGTTGCCTTCCCAACAGAAGACCAATTTTCAGTGGTATCTCTCTCCTGCAGCCACAGTGGCACACTCATTGCTATACAGCGTAAGATCTGTGTCCATGTTGTCATCCAGTGTGTTTTCATCATTGGATGAAATTATGTAATTATAACAGAAAGCCAAAAGTATTATCCTCATTCATATATCATACAGCAACATGGAGCACAACTAAAAGAGATGAAGCCTTGTTACAGAGTTTTTAAAACAGTCTTACAAATCTTTGGACCAGTCAAAAATGCAAGCAGTGGGGAAATGAAGAGACGGAAGTAGCAATGAAATTCATCTCTTTAAATCATCATTGACCACTAGCAGCATAAGCGCTAATAGACTGAAATGGCTAGGGCAGATTGAGAGAATGTCAGATAACAGAGAGGTAAAAACTGTACACAATGGATTTGATGGTCGTAGACCATGAGGCAGACCAAGAAGATAATGGACTGATAATGTTCGGACAGACCCATAAACTTGATGTTACCAGCTGGAGAGAAAAGGCCATCCAAGAGAGATGAATGGAGGCAGGTGATATATTTAGCAATGAACCTTAAGGGCTTGGAATGTTGAAGAAGAAGACACATCATAAAGCATTTTGGACAAATATTGTTAGGCTCATATTTTCTGTGATAAAGGATACACGATGAGTCGTACAGTTTTATACTGTTTACCTTTACAACGCAAGAGTTCATATATCCTGCAGAGGCGGTCATTGTTTGCCATTTCATTTGATTGCCAGAATTAAAGATCATGTCAGTGCTCTTGTCCAGCCTAATTCATGCGGCCAGATTATCCACATATTTATCTCTTTGTGCCCCCCCCCCCCCCCCCACAACCCAATCAAAATTGCCAAATGCCATGAAATTCTTTAATCAACTCCTCCTCGTACCATTTTCCGAAATGGTTAAAGTTTAATTATTCTGATCAGTTCAGATTTTATGCCTCAAGGCGAGTGGCCTTATTGGTTTTTTGTGTGTGGTCATTTTATGATATTTTTTAATTCTCCACGATTAAATGATGACCATAACACAGGCTGTATCGCATTTTAACCCCTTATAGCCTTTTGGCCAAAGATGCCGCTTATTCCCCATCACTGTCCATTTCCCTCATCCCCGAAAAGTCACTAAATGGGCATTGCTGCCTTAACCATTCCCGGATAAGCCTAGGTAATAGGATGCACAGGGCTGGATATGATTATATTTACTAAAAATAGCTTTTGAAGGAATGGAGGTTAAGTGTGTGAAAATTACTTTAAGTCCTAACATCATAATTCTTCTTTAGGGTCAGTGTTAGTCACCATATAAATTATTTTCATTTAGGCCCAGAGAACTGTGGCTGTTTAATTCTCTATTCTGTTTGTTTTATTATTTACTCCCTTTCTTGTATTTCTAAAACTAATTTTTTTAAATGCATATAAATGAATTCTTTAAAAACTGTTCTTAGTAAATCTTCAGTGAGTCGTTGACTCTTGCTGAAACATTGAAGAAAAAATCTTAAATGTTGCCGAACAATGTTTAAGCAGAATTTTTTTCAGAACACCAGGGACTAAGAAGAAGAAAAAGATGGACTTCCTACAGATCTGAACATTGAGGAGAACTGTTTTATAAACGGCATACCGTCCTGGTAGCCCAGGTATTTGGCCATGTAAAATAGTGTGGTGGCATGACATTTCTGAACAAGGCAGTTTGATTTCTGCAAAGAGACTGAAGATTCACTAGTTATGAAAAGCACATAGGGCTGGAGAATTATATAGAGGAAGAGATACTTTTGGGCATGCCGTGACAAGAGTGACATTCTGTAAAGAACCTGCTGATTGATGACGATGGTTCCTCCCTTGAAAACCACTGCTGGATAGAGCTATATTTCTTCTTCTTTGTGGTTGATACTGCTTGTAGTTGGGGTCTTCATTGTGAAGTTGTTGAGCATCGCACTCTGAAAGTCATGGATTCATTTCACATATGCTTCATTCAGTTCGCGGGTGCAGTTTTACAGAGATCCCTGCAGCCAAGGAGTTCAACCTTTGTGCTATGCTCTCAGCAGGTGGCTAGCCAGCCTTTCTGCCGAGAGAGACGGAGCCATGTGATAAAACCTGGTGTAATGAAGTCGACCTTCTTGACCTAAACTGTATGCTAATTGCTCATTGTCTGGCACACAGTTTCAGTCCTACCTAAAATGGGTATCAGAAAAATATCATGGGAAGCCAAGGTGGTAGACATGGAGTTGAACATATTATCCACCAAGTGCCAATTGGTCTGCAAACTGAAGCTAGCACCATATGCCTGATATTCCAGTGGCATTAAACATATTTTTACTACTACTACTACTTTGGCACATAAATTACCTTCCAGTAAGTCTTTATAATCCTACTGCTGCTTTGGCACATAAATTACCTTCCAGTAAGTCTTTATAATCCTACTGCTGCTTTAACACATAAATTACCTTCCAGTAAGTCTTTATAATCCTACTGCTGCTTTGGCACATAAAGTACCTTCCAGTAAGTCTTTATAATCCTTTTGCTGCTTTAGCACATAAATTACCTTCCAGTAAGTCTTTATAATCCTACTGCTGCTTTGGCACATAAATTACCTTCCAACAAGTCTTTATAATCCTACTACTACTTTAGCACATAAATTACCTTCCAGTAAGTCTTTATAATCCTACTGTTGCTTTGGCACATAAATTACCTTCCAGTAAGTCTATAATCTCACAGCTTTTTGGCTCAAAAATTCCTTCCAGTAAGTCTTTATAATCCTGCTGCTGCTTTGGCACATAAATTACCTTCAAGTAAGTCTTTATAATCTTACAGCTATTTTGGCAAAAAAATTCTTTCCAGTAAGTCTTTATAATCCTACTGCTGCTTTGGCACAAAAATTACCTTCCAGTAAGTCTTTATAATCCTGCTGCTTTTTTAGCACATAAATTACCTTCCAGTAAGTCTTTATAATCTTACTGCTATTTTGGCACATAAATTACCTTCCAGTACATCTGTATAATCTGGTGATCTTATGTTGTTTCAGCCATGTCTTCAAGCCCAATTTGATGTTTTTGGTAAAGAAGTGAAGAACACTGAAGCGAAAGGTCAGTGGCAGAGAGCAATATGTGGAGACGGATGCCAGTTGAATCATAGCATCACAAGGTGAACAAAAAAACACACCCAAAAAAAACAGTCTGTCAAGAGTGTGCAACCCAAGGGACAGAAGCTGTTAGAGATACAACCTTCACTGTGGAGATGACACTTCACTGACTGATGTTTAGGGATAAATTTTTTCATACATGTTGTTTTCATGCAATTCTTCTAGTGTTCAAAACTTCAGTTACTTAAGCCGGGCCTTTAATATGGCTTAATGGCTAAACTGGGTTCCTGGGACCTCTCCATGGGTGATCCTCATCCGCATGGTGGCACTTTGTGTCACAAGGTGTTCATCGCTTTGTGTGGGGTATAACTTAAATACATATCATTACTAAAATTCTTTTTGACTCATTTGTTAGTTCCAAATTATGAGTTGTAGCCCTTTACTTAGTTTTCAAGAATTTATCATCACTAAAACTCTTTTCAAATTTTTGGAAATTCCTAATTATGAGTTGTTATTGTAACCCTTTTACCTAGTATGTTTTTCAAGAATTTATCATCACTAAAACTCTTTTCACATTTTTGTAAATTCCTAATTATGAGTTGTTATTGTAACCCTTTAACCTAGTAAATTTTTCAAAAATTCATCATCACTAAAACTCTTTTCATGTTATTTGTTTCTTTGGTGGTTTTAGCAGGTAACCAGCAAGAAAGTATGCAACAGCAGCAAACAAAGAAATCTTAAATCATCTTTTCTCTTCATATATAGCCTTCACCAGGTGTAAACTCCAGCAGAAAGTTCACTCCTGGAATTTAGGGACCTGTTCACATTTTCCAGCCTGTACACACTTTGTCTGATCTAGGTCAGAGGGAATTGTGTTGTACTGCTTTCTTCGAAAAGTCTCTTGTGTGTGGCTGAGGCTGTGGGTTTGGGATCGGGCCAGTTCTACATGTTCTGGGGTCTTTGAAATCTGTGTTGTGATGGAGTATAGAACACATGATACTGGCGCTGTTGTGTTCAGAGGGATGACAACGTGACACCCCTCCGACGTGCAAGAGTCTGAGAAAGTATAAATGTAGGGTCAGGCAGTGTTTAGATGGGCCGGGAAATGTGAACAGGACCAAATTTGGTCTTAATCCAGAATTTGAGTTATGCATGCACATTCGTTTTACAAATTTGGCTTATCTGTATGCTGGTTGTTGGTTTCTTGCCTCTCAGGCAGATCCACCCTGACTTTAAAGGATGCACCCCTAATTAGTTGTGTCCTACTTACGACATGCTTGCTAGAGAAGTAGTGGGTCTATTCTTTTTCTCTCCAAAATGGAGCCACACAAAGATGTAAATGAGAACTTACATCGCAGCACTCAAAACTTACCCATAAGTGCTCTTTCCCCATCTTTAGCAACTAGCAAAGAGTTCCAGTGGTTATTGTTCCAATACCAGTGTGAAACATTAAAGAAAAACTGGCCTGGATCATACCCTCACTTTTTTTTTTTTTTTTTTTTTTTTTTTTTTTTTTTTGAGTAGAGGAGGGGGAGACCCATGCTTCTTTATCTTGTCACCCTAAGAATGCTTTAAAAATAATGCCATGAAGCTGTGGGAATTCCCCAAAAAATCCATAAAGTATTTTATATAGGTCACTAATGTTTAAAAAAATGTATCTACATTTAAGGTTTTTTTTTTCCTTTCGACATATATAAGGATGTATAAAAATGATAGTTAGTCAATAAATATTAAAAGAGTGAAGCACTATAGTGATGGAATAAATTCCCTTGGGCCTACAAAATATGTCAGGTGACTCATGCCCTGACTTCAATCACTGAGGCTGATGGGGAAAATGTGACATCATAGGCTTTACAAAGGCCCACCCCCCTCTAACAGTTACTATATTCATATCCAGGCCTCCTAAACACACTGCAGCCCCACACAGAACCACTATAAACAAGTCAAAAACGTGACAATAATGGGGAATTGAACCCAACCGACAGTTTAAATTTTGCGGTTTCTCATGGTGAGTTACAAGTAGGAAGTGTGATGAAGTACTGACTGAGCTTTCCCATTTTGTGGTCCACGGACTCCCGCTCCCTACGGCAAGAGGTCAATATTTACACACACACCCTCAACCTCTCTATGCATTTTTTTTTTTCAATTTTACTTTTTATAAATTATAAGTATGCATTTATATGAATGTTTTATTTTTTTGGCTTTGTGGTTCCTGCTATTGTGGTTCGGTGCAGCACTCTGAGGCAAACTTGGGAAACTGGATATTGAGTTTCTGGCGTAGCTTCATGAGCAACTGCTCTGTTGTCTGAAATGATGAAGTCACCTTCTTGCCACTGGAGAATATAAAGAAAGATATTATGTTAAACAGTTAGTGGATGATAAAGATGACTAAATTATTCTTCTTCTTAGCGTTCATCGGCTGAAAGCTCTGGGTACTCTGTGTTTTGTTGTACAGTCCACATGATCCCAGAGGGCTTTTACCATAAAGTAGTCCATCACATTGTCTTCAGAATACATTGCATGTGCGTCATTTTATTGAAATTCTTTAAGATTCATTCCCACTTGTGTGTTACATTAGCCAATTAGGAAAGCCAAGACTAGTATGCATATCACAGGAGGCAACCAGGTAGGGTTGGCTACCTCGTTCTACAGAAAACTATGGCTGCAAAAGCCAGCTAATCATAATTAAGTCAACAAACAGCGTAGCTTAATTTAGTCGAGAGCTTATGCTCCACTGATAGATGAAAGGCAGCAGAAGAGACTATTTTGGGAAGAAAGCACACTAACAATGACTTCACAGGAATGACATCTTTAAAAAAAAAAACATGCTTCACCAAAAGATACTTCATACTATATAGAGCTTCTCTGATGTGATTTTTTTTTTTTCCCACTATGTTCTCAGGCTCTTTGTCCTCTCCTCTAGTTAAATTTGTACTGTATGGCATTCTGTCTCAGCAGTAGACCATTTTATTTGCTGTCTTTGTATGTAATTTAAAAATTCCTGTTTCTTTTTTGGTTACTCTTAGGCTTCTTCATAAATCTCATTTCTGATGTTACTCCTTTGTTGTTTATGTATTGAGTCTATACTTAGCATTGGTAACACAGGGTTGGTTATGTATATGCTTTGTAACACTTCAGACTGCAATGTGTTTTAAAATATGATCACCAAAATTGACTCCGTATGTACGAATTTATCAGTCATCCCACCGTCCATGATGCAATATACTTTTAAAATAAACTATTGTTTGATACAAAAGTCTGACTAGAGTAAATTATTAATTTAGAATATGTTCTTTCTTGTCTCTAATCCTGGAATGCCTTGCGGCATCAGGACATGAAGAGATCTCTGGAACAGGCCCTTCTGTTTGCTTCCTATATAGTACTTTTGAGTGACTCTGGTATCTGTGCAGTCCATCGTTTGCGTCGATGCCAATCTTGTCACATGGCCAAACCATTTGACCTGTTGTCTAGCTATAAAGTTCAGAATTGGTTCTCCCCTGTGTGTGTTCCGGGGCCCCATTGTGGGGAAAACAAGAATAGACCCACTGCCTCCCCAAAAGCATGTTGTAAGAGTCGACTAATTGGGGAGCTTCCTTTGAAGTAGGAATGCATCTGCCGGAGAGGCAAGGAACCAACAGTCTGTATTGAAGAGAATGAGATCTGTAAAACTGATGCACACGCAACACTCAGGTTCTGGAGCAGGACTGCAGTTCAGTAGTGGATGAGCAACCAGAACCTTCCGCCAGAGTGTACAGCTGGTGAACGTGAAGAAGAAGTATTGGTTCTGTGCCAACTCTCCTCCTAATATTATCGTTCCTAAGTCATCTATCCTCATTACACCTAGTATAGTATGTAAACATTTAATTTCTGTTGTGACTATTTTCCTTCTGTCTTCTAAAAGACAGTGTCCATGTTTGAAACTGATAGCACAGCATTGGTAAGAATACTGTGTTGTTTAGTGTTCTTTTAGTGTTCATATTCACATGCTTGCATTTCAAAATTGGTGACATTTGGCCTTAAACTTGAATGGCTTTATTGCATCTTTGCTGGATTTCTTTATTCTTCCTTCTTCTAAAAAAAATGCTCCCCAGATATGTAAATTCCTTTGCCTGCTTTAATTGGTGTTCATCTTTTTTTATATCAGTGGTCCTTCCTTTTCTGTAGAACGTCATTACTTCTGTGTTGTCTACGTTGATCTTCATATTATAGCTGTAGCATTCTGAGTGGAGTCTATTATTATGTTCTTGTAGTTGTACTGCTGTTGGTGCTATGATTGCCTGGTCATCAATGAAAAGCAATTCATTTAGTAATTCTCCAATGTGTCCCCTTTGCTGGTGTTAGCTGATTTGCAAATTTGGTCGACGTATGTGATGAACAGTAGTGGTGACAGCACGTACTCCTGTCTCACTCCAGACCTAATGTGGAACTTTTCTGACACTCCTGTGTTTGTTCTACCTGCACACTGACTGCTGACATATAAACTCTTGCACAATTTAATAAGGTGTTCATTTACTCTGTAATCCTGTAGTACCGTCCATATTAACCTGATCGAAAGCTTTCTCTTCATCTATGATATGAATGTGACATGTAATTCTTTAACGAATTCTACCGTTCTTTCCACTAACTGTCCAAGTAGTATGTTAAGTATATTAATGTAGAAATTAAAAAAAAAATTTAAATTAAAAAAAACGGCAGGTTACCATAAAATCAGCAAGAAAGATGGGCTGTAATGGCTTTAGTAATACTGAGAATAAGAGGGAAAATTATTAAATTAATTGCACAGTAGTATACTCCGTAATCAGTATTAATAATGCAGGACTGGATTCTATAGATGATGAATTATACATACGATGACAAGGCAGCTACTTCATAAATAATCTACAGAGCATGGCCTAACTCCAGTAAGTCTATTTGCTGTGGTGAACTATGACCTGGATACATCCTTTTATGCCTATCCGCAGATGTGAAGTTTCCATACCAGCCTTTCCCTGCCAGATTCTAGACAAGATAAAGGAAAGCACTGCAACACAGCTCTTAATCTGAGTGTTCACCGGCTGTAAACTCCAGCAGAAAGTTCTGACTATTTGTCCACTTCTGGAATGTGGTCTTTTTTCAGAACTTGAGTTTTGCATGCACATCCACTGTACACACCTGGCTTATTTATGTGCACAATGCTGGTTCTTTTCAGGCAGATGCAATGAAACATGGAAGGAAACACCCTTAGTCAACTTTTAGGACAGGCTAATTTCCCCCAAAGCCACCTAAGAAACGCAAGACAAATACAGAAAGCCACAACACTGGGTTACACAACCTGGCAACAGTGAGAGGACAACAGAAGGAGAAAATTACCCGGGCACTAAGAGGGTTCATAATCAACAATAATAATACAAACCAACTTCATCAACACAACTCCTGGTGACAATGTGGTGGTGACGATGACAATAGAATTATGCTGTGTTTTATTATTACTATTACCTGATGTTCATATACAAGACTCCTGTTGTTCTTGACTATCTCTCTGTGGATGTCCTGCAGCAGCTGTGCTGTTTCTTGTTCACCTGTCAATCTCTGGTTCTGGCTCTTCCTATCCCACATAAAACAACCGATCATACCCAGGTGGAAGCACATCACCTAGGAAAGAAACCCCATGTGGCTATAGTTAATGTTCATAACATAGGAAAGAGACTCCATGTGGCCATAGTTAATGTTCATAACATAGGAAAGAAACCCCCACATGGCTATGGTTAATGTACATAACCTAGGAAAGAGACTCCATGTGGCTATAGTTAATGTACATAACTTAAGAAAGAGATCCCGTGTGACTGTAGTTAATGTACATAACCTAGGAAAGAGACTCTATGTGGATATAGTTAATGTACATAACTCAAGAAAGAGATCCCGTGTGACTGTAGTTAATGTACATAACCTGGGAAAGAGACCTCATGTGACTAGCTAAAGTACATAACCTAGAAAAGAAACCCAATCTGGCTATAGTTTATGTATATAACCTGGAAAAGATCTGGTAATCCTAGTTTTAGCTTCATAGCAAATGGGTCACCCTATAGTTGCTTTGCTGCTGTGCCAATGAAAAACACGTAGCTCACAGTGTCACACCATGCACTCAACTCAAAAGCTGGGCGACAAAACTATACCCTTCGTCTACAAATGGAGCAAAAATGCAATGGCCACCATCTGGCAGAAGCAACAAAAAAACAAAAAAAACATTTGCCATGACAAAAAAAAAAAAAAAAAAGTGGTTGTGCCTAGCGTCCATTTTGACCTGAAGCATTATATGAGGGTTAATAAATGGTCACCCCAGCAGTATCCTCACTATTAGCTGGGAAAGGGACTTAGGACATTAGATCCACCAGCAGGCATCGCCCCTACAATGACCTGACTGCCTTCGTTAACAACTGGTCACCCAACAGCCATGCAGTTCTTTGGCACGAAGAAGACACCTTGAACTTGGGTTTCGGACTGCCGACTCTCTACAAGATGTTATTTTATGTTTTGTTACCTGGAAAAGAGATCCCATGAGGCTATAGTTAATGTACATAACCTAGGAAAGAGACCCCATGAGGCTATATTTAATGTATATAACCTAGGAAAGAGACCCCATCTGGCTATATCTAATGTACATAACCTAGGAAAGAGATCCCATGAGGCTATAGTTAATGTACATAACCTAGGAAAGAGACCCCATGAGGCTATATTTAATGTATATAACCTAGGAAAAGACCCAACGAGGCTATAGTTAATGTACATAACCTAGAAAAGAGATCCCATTTGGCTATAGTTATTGTATATAACCTAGGAAAGAGACCCCATCTGGCTATATTTAATGTACATAACCTAGGAAAGAGATCCCATCTGGCTATATTTAATGTACATAACCATGGAAACAGACCCCATGAGGCTATAGTTAATGTACATAACCTAGAAAAGAGATCCCATTAGGTTATAGTAGTGTATATAACCTAGGAAAGAGACCCCACCTGGCTATATATAGTTAATGTACATAACAAGGAAAGAAACTGCATGTGGCTATAGTTAATGCAAACAATCTTCAAGTCCTTTTATCTCTATTGTTACATATGCTTGATCTGTTATTGGTTCTTCACTGTAATTGTCTTGTCATATCTTGTCGTCGAACCCTTGATGCTATATTTGGTAGATGATCTGTTTTTCTTTGTGTGTCATTGGTGTTTTTACTAAGCAGAACAAAATCACCAGCACAATTGAGGTCTTCCATCAGTGTGTTCTCCACCCAGTCAATGCCGGTGTTTCCAAGAAGATTGTTTCATCACCCACTCAATGGTTATGCCACGCACAGAGACAAATGCTTGCTGGGCATACACATATTATCATAAAGCCCCTTTGTTCGTGGGGCCCCATGTGTAAGGTCGGCACTGGTGCTTCATATATAATTCCAAATATAAACAATAATAAACCATAAAATCAAGAGTTAAAAAAACAAACTTATAGCAAGATGGGAAAAAAAATTTTTGATTTGAAAACTTCCACTTTATTTAATCTGAAAGGTTTTCTTCTAATTTTTTTTTTAATTGCAAAGTCTTTGATCAGAAAGTCAAAATTTATCTTATGCAACACATCTGCTTCTATAGTAAAGATAAGGTATTCAGCCTGCTTTGTTTCACTGTTGTTCAGGTGTGATTTATCTGGCCCTGCTATGCTCGATGTGCTACTGGTGTGAGAATGGTCCTATGTTTGATTTTTTTTTATTTCTTTCGTTCTTTCTGACTTTTAAAAAAAAAACATTTTATTTACATTTTTAAACATTTCTTTTTATTTTCAAAGCCTGTTTTAATACAACAATGAATTCTAATGTAAGTTTTCCTTCATCACTGAAACCAGAAATCAACTTACCGGAACTCTGGTGACAGGGTGTTTATAGATTAAAGGATGAATCACTTCACCACGGTCGCCAACCATCCACAACCTCTCCCATACTGCTCTTCTTTCTGGTTTCAGGGACTCAAGAAGTTCTTTGAAGCCAACAAATGCTGTAATAAATATTTTTAAAACAAAAAAAAATATTCATTGTATTGAAAAAGTTGTTAAAAACAAATTAGCAATATTAAAAACAAAAATTATGTAACTGTCTTTCCATTTACAGAACTCTTCTTCTTCAGCATTCCGAGTCCTTGAGGTTCATTGCTGCAGATATCACCCGCCTCCATTCATCTCTCTGGTTGGCCTTCTTCAGCATTCCGAGTCCTTGAGGTTCATTGCTGCAGATATCACCCGCCTCTATTCATCTCTCTGGTTGGCCTTCTTCAGCATTCCGAGTCCTTGAAGTTCATTGCTGCAGATATAACCCGCCTCTATTCATCTCTCTGGTTGGCCTTCACATTCCAGTTGGTGACACAAGTGTTTGCAGGTGTGTCTGGATATTATCTCTTCATCATCTTCTTGGTCTGCCTCATGGCCTATCATCTCCCTTGTGTACACAGTTTTTACTTCTCTGTCATCTGACATTCTTTCAATATGCCCCAACCATTTGTCTATTAGCTCTTATGACGCCAGTTATCAGTGGTGATTTAAACTGATTATGAATTTTGTTGTTGCTTCTTATCCATTCACCGCTGTTTGCATCTTTGATGGGTCAAAAGATTCATCGTAAGACTGTTTTAGAAAAATTTTTATGAGGCTTCATCTCTTTTAATTGTGCTCCAAGTTTCAGAGCCATATAAAACAATTGGTCTTATCAACGTTTTATATATTTTGATCTTGGTGTTGCAAGACAGACACTTTTTATTTCCAGATTTACAGGAATAAAAACTAATAAATTAACAAATATACGCAGCATATATGTACAGTTTACTACAGTTCTGTACAACCTCCCACATATATTTAACAATATAATGGAACAGTGAACAGGATAAAGACTATGTGAAACATGGAACGACAACATCAAGAACAGCCTTAAAGAAATAAAGATCAACACATTAGAAAGAAACAAAAAAGATCCTTGCATTCCCCAACAATTTGATGAGATAACTGGACAAAGAGAAAAAAATGGCAATGTTTGAAGGTAACTAGTTGTCTCGCTCTCTTCTCCTTCTTCTCAGTGTTTATTGGCAAAATGTTGTGGCTGTTCATCCATTTCTGGACTTTGTGGTATTGTTCTAGAACTTTAGTTTTGCGTGCAAATCCATTTGACAAATTTGGCTTCTTTGCATGCAGACTGTTGATTCCTAAACTCTCAGGCAGATGTACTGTAACTTCAAAGAAAACATCTCTAATTAGTCAACTTTTACAACATTCTGGTTAAAGAGGCAGTGGGTTTATTCACCACCCTCCCCCTTCACCTTGTCCCCCTAACATGGCACCCTGGAACCTACACTGGAAGTTGCAACAGTGACTGTCCATCTAAAACAGACAACCTGGAACCTACATTGGGAGCTGCAACAGTGACTGTCCATCTAAAGCAGACAACCTGGAACCTACATTGGGAACGACAACAGTGACTGTCCATCTAAAACAGACAGCCTGGAACCAACATTGGGAGCTGCAACAGTGACTGTCCATCTAAAACAGACAACCTGGAACCTACATTGGGCACTGCAACAGTGACTGTCCATCTAAAACAGACAACCTGGAACCTACATTGGGAGCTGCAACAGTGACGGTCCATCTAAAACAGACAACCTAGAACCTGCATTGGGAACGACAACAGTGACTGTCCATCTAAAACAGACAACCTGGAAGCTACATTAGGAGCTGCAACAGTGACTGTCCATCTAAAACAGACAACCTGGAAGCTACACTGGGAGCTACAACAGTGACTGTCCATCTAAAACAGACAACCTGGAACCTGCACTGGGAACAGCAACAGTGACGGTCAATCTAAAACAGACAGCCTGGAACCAACATTGGGAGCTGCAACAGTGACTGTCCATCTAAAACAGACAACCTGGAACCTACATTGGGCACTGCAACAGTGACTGTCCATCTAAAACAGACAACCTGGAACCTACATTGGGAGCTGCAACAGTGACGGTCCATCTCAAACAGACAACCTAGAACCTGCATTGGGAACGACAACAGTGACTGTCCATCTAAAACAGACAACCTGGAACCTACATTGGGAGCTCCAACAGTGACTGTCCATCTAAAACAGACAACCTGGAACCTACATTGGGAGCTGCAACAGTGACTGTCCATCTAAAACAGACAACCTGGAACCTACATTAGGAGCTGCAACAGTGACTGTCCATCTAAAACAGACAACCTGGAACCTACATTGGGAGCTGCAACAGTGACTGTCCATCTAAAACAGACAACCTGGAACCTACATTAGGAGCTGCAACAGTGACTGTCCATCTAAAACAGACAACCTGGAACCTACATTAGGAGCTGCAACACTGACTGTCCATCTAAATCAGACAACCTGGAACCTACATTAGGAGCTGCAACAGTGACTGTCCATCTAAAACAGACAACCTGGAACCTACATTAGGAGCTCCAACAGTGACTGTCCATCTAAAACAGACAACCTGGAACCTACATTGGGAGCTGCAACAGTGACTCCATCTAAATCAGACAACCTGGAACCTGCATTGGGAACGACAACAGTGACTGTCCATCTAAATCAGACAACCTGGAACCTACATTAGGAGCTGCAACAGTGACTGTCCATCTAAAACAGACAACCTGGAAGCTACATTAGAAGCTGCAACAGTGACTGTCCAACTAAAACAGACAACCTGGAAGCTACATTGGGAGCTGCAACAGTGACTGTCTAAAACAGACAACCTGGAACCTGCACTGGGAACAGCAACAGTGACTGTCCATCTAAAACAGCCTGGAACCTACATTGGGAGCTGCAACAGTGACGGTCCATCTAAAACAGACAACCTGGAACCAACATTGGGAGCTGCAACAGTGACTGTCCATCTAAAACAGACAACCTGGAACCTGCACTGGGAACAGCAACAGTGACGGTCCATCTAAAACAGACAACCTGGAACCTACATTGGAAACGGCAACAGGGACTGTCTATCTAAAACAGACAACTTGTTCAGTAAACATTTTTAGCTACAGACCCTCAACTCATTTATGACCATGCATCTTATAATGTGTTTGTTGGTTTCAACTTTCATAACAGACTCTTCTGAACACTTTGGGACTCATACAGTTGATATACTAAAACCCACTCTGCCCCAGACTTTGTTTCATTCCTACAGTCCAATAACACACTTTGCCCCAGTCTTTTCTTTATTTCCTACCGACCCATTGTGCTGTTAAACTTCTCAGAACCAGGTTTTTTCTGTGCGGGTTCCAAGACCCAGTTTTTTTTGGGGGGGGGGGGGGGGGGGGGAGTTAGGGAGTGGAAGGATCTACCCATAGCTCCTTAACCATCATGTCATAAAATGTGACTAAATAAAGATTTTCTGAAAATTGATGTTTTGGGCTCAAAATGGCAGATATCATAGTCTAGCTGTAAACCACAACACATCAACTGCCCTTTTAACGATGAACACAGAAACAGAAAACTATATCAAAGCACTGACTACTTAAAGAACAACTTATCAAAACAGAACCAATTAAAATAACTGCTTGGTAATGAAAGAGTTGGAAAAAAAAACTACAGAAACTGACCTGACCACAACAGTTCAAGAGACTCACCTGTAGCCCCAATTTTTGGTACAGATACCATATGATAAAGGGCATAATCGAAAGGTTTCTCCATGAACGAACCATCAATATGCCAGCCAGTTCTACCCACGTTTCTGCAGCCTTCTTTCTCATCATTAGATACCCTAAACACATCTGGATGTGGTGACTTTGGGTGCTTGTAGAATGTCGATTCTAATTCCCCAAACCATTTGCTGATTTCTACATGACGTTCAGCACTAATGGCTCCTTGGTTCTTGAAAATCAACAATCTGTGTTTGTGAACATCATTCTTCAACTTGGCTATTGTTTCACTGGATAAATCTGAATTGAGATCAATGCCTCTCACTTCCACGCCCAACTTGGCTGGTTTATATGTCGATTCTGGCAACATTTTTAATGAAAATTGTCTCAGCGTCACATCTCTCGTCTGTTTTGAAGTATGGGGAGAAATTCGAACCAGTAGCTTGCTCCCAGGAAAAGTATTTATGATGCTGGGTTCCGACTCAAAGATTTACCGAACCGTTACCAGTGTACTGATCTACACAACATAAAAGAGAGAGAGAGAACAAATAAAGATAGTGGCAGAATAAGGGGATGAAATATAATGGCAGATTAAAAACGCAAACTAGATTTTTACAAGAAAGTTACGGATTGATGTCCAACCCCACCAAAACATCACACCGATTAATAAACACCCAGTGACACAAAGTGTCACCATTCAGATGAGGATCACCTGGGGACAGGTCCCAGAAACCTCATTCAACCCATAGGTTGGGTTATATTAGGGCCCCTGACCACAGCCAGGGTGCAGCTTTGAAACAACAACAAACTGTGTTCGACAGTGGATCACAGTAAAACTCTAAGTGAATAGGGTATTTCAGGGTATCTTCTTTTCATTTTCTGCTTTGTGCCATTGGGCATCACAGGTTAACAGGTCAGTGGTATCCGTGAAGGACATGCTCGGCTATCTGGTGTGCTGTGATCTTGTGGAGTCTCATGGTATCATTAACTCCTTCAATCCATCTTCTTCTTCGTTGTACCCTACCTCTTGGTGTTTCTACTTTCATGCACTCGTGGGTGGCATCACTGGATACTTCAAGGTAAAACTTAGGTCCATGTTCACACTAGGACACATAAGGTATATGATGCTAGAATTGTAGTTTTATAGGCCTGATGTCACTTGATGAGCGAGTGATCAACATTACATATAGGGCATTAGACCAGTGTTCTTCTACTGGTGGGTTCAGCTGGGTTTCCAAAAATGTCTGCCTAAACATCTAACAGTGTGGGGCAGGAAAGTTTTTTTTTTCTATAAGTGCTGTCTGTAGAATCAAACAAGCACACATCCCAGAAACCCCAATCAACCATTTAAAACAGTTTTGCAACTAAATTAATACCTCAGCTTAGAATTGGCTTCCATTGATGTATCATTGGATTTGTTATTTTAATCTCTATCTAGCTGTAATAGTTTCATAAGTAAAAACCCTGGCTATCTTCTGAATAACGGTCCTAAATTATCGAGGCAGAAAATATACCCTAACAGGGCCTCAGTCCCGTGTCAATTGCGCACTTCCGTCGACTTAAATTGTGCACTTCCGCCACCACTGAGAGTGCCCCCCACGTCGCTCGGCGTGGACTAGGACTAAACTAGATGGCTAGAACTCAAGAGCAGCAGCTACCGCATTTCGTGCAGCTGCCTTCATTTTATTTGCTCGTGAGTCCCAGCCATCTAGTTTAGCCCCAATCCACGCCACGGGATACTCTAGGCGGACTAGTGCCCGGAAGTGCGCAATTGACATGTGATTGAGGCTCTGTTAGGGTATATTTTCTGCCCCGATAATTTGGGGCCGTTATTCGGAAGATAGCTAACTTCGCTGTCATCCTTAAATAGTAAATTCGGCTCTACTTTGAACTTCCCCATAAAATGGAGGCCGAAATATGATGCCGTTCCAAAGAGAGCTAAATTGGTCAATTTATGGCCATAAAATATCCAAAAATATCCGAATGGGGCTCAGTTCTATTAAAAATAAATGTGCCGGCTCCGCATAACGAAACAAATGCTCTAATCTAACAGGGTCTCTGTGATACGTTACCTGCGGACCTGCTTCTGCGAGTGTGCCCTGACCCCCGACCGTATCCCCCGCACCGCGGATGGGGACTAAACTAGATGGCTAGGACTCATGAGCGGCAGCTACCGCATCTCCTGCAACTTCCTCCAATTACTTTACTCGTGAGTCCCAGGCACCTAGTTTAGCTCCCCATCCGCGCCGCGCGTAACGGAGGATACGCTCAGCGATGAGTTTAATCGCGTTTTGCGCATGCCGACAAGTCTGACATCTACCGCTGCTAAATCCTCCAATATCGTCAGCTAGTATCGTCTGCAGAAACGCTCGAAATTGTAAACGGAAAAATCTCGGCGTAGAAGAATTGGATTTCGATGCTTGGCTGAAAAAAACAAAGTACCATTGGATTTCTTTTTCTACGTGGAACAACAAATTTAGAAAATGTGACCAGAGTTCCTACTTTCACACACAAAGCACATCAACACTGTAAGTGTTAGTTACTAACTGGTCTGTTATTTAGATAATTCCGATTTACAGCACGCTCAGCGGGCAGAACAGTCAAAGAAGCCAACGGCGCCTTCTCCATGACAACCAGCAGCATGACGATGGAGGTGATGGCAGTGACGCAAGTGTTTGCCTGGCTTGAAACACAAAAATACACCCGCATATGTATACTCAGTGATTCAATGAGTATGATCCGGAGGGTTCAGGCAGGTTCAGTGCGAAGACAATGGCTTGAATCAATTCAGAAGTCCACTGTGCGAGGAGTCACCTTTATTTTTGTTCCGGGACACGCAGGCGTCGATGGAAATGAAAGAGCTGACAGGCTGGCTGGATCCGCTATCACTACCGACGGTCGGCCTATGGATCATGCTGATATTATCAATGCCCTCAGAGAAATGGGAAGGATAGAGGACTTTGGTGGCAGTGAATCCACATCACTCGCCAGAATGGCAGACTTGGGAATTAAGATCGGCACAGCAAAAAACGAGACGAGACGCACACCAGACACGCCAGAAGATTTGTTAATCAACATAGAACTGGTACTATTAGCCATCGGACGTTGGGATTCATACTGAGGAGAAGATCTGAGCACCTATGGACATGTCCGGAGTGCAATGATGATAACCCAACTAACTAACTAACTAACTAACTAACTAATTAGATAATTCCGGTAACATGCAAGATGATGTACAACAACATGCCGACCTCCGCTAAACAACAACACAGACAAGTAAAACCGAGTGGAGTCCCTTGCCTTGCTCAGGCAGGCAACGGGTACAGGGCTGCCGAAACATTTTCATGAGCATGCTTGTGAATCCTATACGACAACAACATATGTGGCAGAGATTCTCTCCACTCATCACAGTACCCATACTTATGAAATAAAAATAAGACCCAGGCTTCAATCATTCGACCAATCAGTCTCACAAGCTTTGTAGAGACAACATAGGAGAGAATAATCAACTAAAGACTGAAATGGCACTTAGATTTAGATGTTACAGCATAGGAGACCAAGTCACTTAACAGTCAGAAGCTGAAGAAGATGCCTTCCAAGAGAAGAAAAAGGTCCTAGTGGTGAGGGTCGACTTCAAATAAGCTTTTGACAAAGTGTGGACAGATGACCTCATTGCGAAACTGAAAAGAAATGGAATCCAAGGGAACATGCTAAGGTGGATTCAAATCTAATCCACACACAAAAGGAGAACTAGAGTAACTATTGATGGCCACCAGAGCAGAAAAGTGTTGCTTCATCAATGACCTGGTGACAGAACTCCCTACAGGAGTAAAGGCTGCCCTGTATGCAGAGGATTTTTCACTCTGTTGTACTGATAAACACACTACAGTGGAAAATCTAAGAATGCAGTGAGCAACAAATATCCTAATGACATGGGCAGAAAAGTGGCATGTTGTCATCAACACAAACATCCACAGTGTTTTTTTTTTCATTGCCTATTTTGGACTGTCTAGGACATGTGAAACATTTTTATACACATAAAAAAAAAAACAAAAAAAAAAAAACAACGAGCTGAGTTGATTTAAGAAACGACATCACAGCACTCGGGGTATTCAAATAAGTTCCCTTCCCTGTCTTCGTCAGCCAGTGTAAATTTAATAAACCAGTGATGCCAGTAGCTGTCTTATTGTATACCCCCCCCCCCCCCCAATGGCTTTTCTCTAGGAGTCGAGTATCGGCCAGATCCCCTCGTCATTCCTCGCTGCATCAGCCTCATCGGACTGTGTGGATTATTTGCTTTTCCGATTTGTACATATGCTCTCATAAGGCCTTAACCACGTCTGCCTTTTCGTGTATCAATATTCGACCAGATTATGTAGAACCAGCCAGTTTGTTCGCCTGTTCATTTCCCAACACATCGGTATCACCCGGAGAAAAGAATCTGACAATGCTCTTCACCCGTGACTTCTGAAGCCAAGTATGCCACTCTGCACGAAGCATGCCTGTCTTCACCCTCCCAGGCATGCTTTCTCAGTCAGTTACAATTACACATACATATGATTATAATATACATTATTATACATACACACAAATACATATAAAATGGGGCATTACTGTGTTTTCAGATTTAATTATGTGGTTATTTCCCTTGCTCAAAAATTCTGAAACTGAAGATTCGATCGAAGGACAACATTGGATAACATAAAAACTGAAAGCTATAGTTACCATGCCGATAATTGAATCTGTCACCTCCAAATGTTTCTGCCTCTCGCTGCAGAAACAAGTGTACTAAAATAATTATGACCTACTAGGTCCCTCACTTTTTTTTTGGAGGTGACAGGTTAGATTCTGGGCAAGGTAACTGCAGCTTTCGGTTTTTTGTTGTTGTCTACTGTTGTTGTCATAATGTCAAATTTACGCTGACATTTTACTCACAAAATGTAGTACAGAATAGTAAACATTTAAAAACATGTAATGTTTTGCATCCTTCAGTCAGTCAGTCTGTGGTAACTAATACATAGGAATGAAAGTATTCTTAGTTTTATAACAAGTAACTAAACTTGTAAATTGTCACTGACAGCTAAGTTAATCCATGAAAGCGGCATTAGCTTTTAAAAAAAAAATATTTCCATGTTGTCAGAGTTAAGGCAGCTTCTTGTCTCACTGAAGGTATTTCCAGCTGTACTAAACAGACGTTTACTTGGTACGCTCGTAGGTGGTGTACAAAGATAACGCTTGACAATATGAACCAAAGTGGGAAATCTTAATATGTTTATTTTTCACCAGTCTAGAAACGGATGTAAGGTAACCACTATTCGTATTCGGCCCGACCGTAACTATTCGGCCGAATACCGAATAGTTATTAGGTCC